TTATCCCTTTTATTAGCCTCACATAATATTAATATAAATTTAAAAATAAGATATTAAGAATAGATTTTACATTTAATTTACGATATATATATATTCTTTTAACTATTTTTAAACATAACTTATCTAATATTAATAGCCTAATATAAATACTTATTTTTACTAATTATTTAAGCGCGTTTACGTTTAATAATTCTTTTTAAAATATTAAAGGCAAGCGAATAATATGTCGTTTTATAGGAAATGGTATTTTATTAAAGTAATTTATTTCCGATTATTTTTTTTTTTTAATTTTAATTTATATTATTTTTTACTTAACTAATAATATATAAGTTTCTTCTATTAATATAAAGGCAAAATAAGATAATAACGTTATTTGAAATCATATTTTAAGTAAGATTAACGCCGAAAGTTAAGACGCATAAAAAAAAATTTAATTATAATATATATTAACGGTATTTATATTTTTATTATCGTTAAACGATTTTTTTTAACACAATTTCCTAATATATTTAAGTCGATTTAATTTTCTAAATCCGATAATTTATTTATCAAGTTTAAGTCGAATAACTTATCGTTTAAATCTTTTAAATCTTAGGTTTACTCCTTAAATATTAACAAGACTTATAAATAATTAACCGAATTAACGATTAATTTTACCGCACCAAACGCGATGCGATATTATCTTATAAAAGCTAGTAAAAAGCTAATTAAAGTGGTTTATATTTTATTATTATAAATGTTTTCGATTATAAATATACTTATTTAAATGTTAAATTTAATTAAAATATTTTAAAGCTAAAGAATTCCTAATAAAAGCAGGCAATTTTTAGGTTAATTTTTAAGCCTTATAATTATTTATATGAAATGTTAAATCTCTTATATATTAACATTTAATAATATAAATTTGTGAATTTTATATTTTTCTTTATTTAAGGTTAAAAAGTAAAAAAATTTTATAATAAAATCTTTAAGTAATTTCTACTTTAAACTAAGCTATTACATTAATTTATTAGAAATTACATTTATATTACTTTCCTAGTTAACTTATGTTAATTTAGGTGGAAGTATAATAGATATTATTTCGTTTCTTTTTTTAAAACGTAATGTTATATTTAAATAAAAAAAGCGGATTAATTTATATAACGAGCTATTATTTTTCTTTTAATGCTTTTTAAACGTGATATTATCCAGAATTTTTAAGGAATTAATTTATAACGACATTATAATTTACTTAATTTTTACTGCTTTTAATCTTAACGGATTAATAGCTTTTAATTTTTTTAAAGTAATTATTTTTCGCACGACTCGCTTTTCAACTCTTACATTTTTTTATATTAAAAAATGTTTAAATTATTTAAACGTTTTAAGGGAAATTTAAAAAAAATTTATAAGCGTTAAGGAGATTTATATCTTTTTAACTAAAGATTTAAAATTAAATATTACCTTTTTATTAAAACTATAAATTTATTAAAAGCTTTTTTATGGTTTTATCTTTTTCCTTTTCTTCTTTTTTTCGATAATAATTAAGATAATTTTAAAGTTATCCCAGTAATACTTTAATAACGGCTCATCATATAAAATTATACCTAAATACGATATAAGTTTAATAACTTTCTTACGTAAATTATTTTTTATTATTAAAAGGTTACTTAAAAATATAAGGCTTTTTTTTTCTAAAATTAACGTAAGAAATTATAACTTAAATTTATCTTTAACTAATGTTTTTAAATTATTAATTTTAAAGTCGGATAATATTTCTTAAGTTTTTTAACATATGCGTTTATTTTTTTTAAAATGTATATAAAGATTAAGTTTATTTAACTTTTATTTTTAAAATTATTAAGGAGAAAAGTCTTAAATTTATTTATAAAATAATTAAGTTATGTGCGCCTTATACCCGTTTAAGGTTAAGTTTTTCCTAAAATCGAAAATTATATTATAAAAGTTAAGATTTTAAGCTATTTTAACTTAACTATTATTTCCTTAAAAAAATAAAATTGCCTTTAATGTTATAATTTCTTATAAAAGAAGTTGTTATTTTTTTATTATTAAATATGTTATAAAAATATGTTTAAGCTTATTATAATAAAAGCATACTTTCTTAAATGGTTTTAATTGATATAACTTATTTATTATTAAATTTTTCGATGTTTTTTTTAATAAGATTTTTTTATATTTAATATAGTTTTAATTATAAATTAAGTTTTTAAACGAAACATTTTATAAAGGAAAAGTTAATAATAAAGTGAATAAGGTTATAATAGTTGCAATAATGTGAGAAAATATTAAAATTATTAAAGAAGTTAAAAAAGGTTAAAATAATTAAAAGACCTTTTATGTTTAATAAAGTATATTAATATTTACTATTTTAATTAAGGAAAAGCTAATATAATTTTATTGTCTTTTATAATATCTATGTCGATTAATGTGTAATAAGAAATAATAAAAAGTTTGATATAAGAAAATATAAAAGGTTTAACGAAAAAAATAAAAAAAAAATTAATGTGATAAGTGTTATTATATTTAATGTTATTATTTAAAAATATTATGCTGTTAAAATTTAATTAATTAATATTTTAGTTTGATTAGTAACCATTTTCTTTAATATTTTTTATCGAGTTTTAAATTAATAGGATTTTATAATGTTGTTTTTTTTTTCGATTATTAATTAGCAGTTTTAAATAACGTTATATGTTAATTATAATAATTTATAATTCCAAATATTTTTATTTATATATTTAACTTATAGAATTTAATTTTAAAGGTTATTAATAAAATAATTAATAATTATTTTAAATATATTTATTTTAAAAGTGGTTAAAATTAGCGATAATATATTTATTTATAATATTTATTTTTAAGATTAATCTTAAACCCTTATATATCTTAAAAAATTTTATATTTATAAGTAATATACGACGAGTGTTTTATTTTTACCTTAAGCGAGTTTGTTTAAATTAAATATAAATTAATTATTTAACTTATTTATTAATATTATTGGAAATTTGTTTTTTAAGGTTTGTTTAACATTTATAAAATCTTTTAATATAATAATGCCGTTTTTAATTTGGTTAAGTGTTTTTTTAAATGTTAAACTATTATTTAAAAAAGTTATAACTTTATTTTTACATTATATATCGATCGTTTATAATATATTAAAAATAGAAAAAATGTTATACCTTATATATTAAAATTGTTATTTTAAGTAGTTTAACTATTTCGCTATTAACTCACCACCTTTAAAACGACCATATTTTAATAAATTTAAAACTTAAAAATAATATGAAATAATTATTAAATTAACTAAAATATTTTAAAATGAAAATAAATTTTTAATATTTAATTTTTCATTAATATATAAATTTATAAAATTTATAATAAGATTTATAAGTAATAATATAAGAGATAAATTTATTAATATATAATAATTAATTTAATAAAATTAATATTATTAAAATTAATAAAATTAATAAAATTAATGATAATTAGTTTAAGGAATAATTAGCGTTTTAGATATAAAAGATTTTAAAAAAAGAGAAATAATTGATAAAATAATAAGGATTAAAATGAAAAAAAAGGGATTATAATTTATTTCGATAAATTAGTTAAAAAGATTAAATTAATAAGGTAATTTATTTAAAGATCTTTTAGATATAAATATTTATCTTAGCGAGCTTAGCTTAAAAATTAAAAAATAATTAAGCTGCGCTCGTTTATGCCATAAGCATATTATTTTTTAGCCCGTGCACATGTACATGTGGGGCTAAAAAAATGATGTTTTTTAATTTTTAGTTTAAGTAAAAACCGTAAATTGCGATAATATTTGCTACGAAAGTTAAAATTTGTTAAATTTGTTAAAATATTATTATATTTATTAGCAACCACATTATAACAATTTAATAAAATAATTCCAAACTAAGCTGTAAATAAAGATAATTATAATATTTAACCTTAAAAACCTTTTTTATCCGGTCGCAACGTTTATAAGGCTTTTAAAAACGCGACGTTTTAACTTATTTTAATTAAAATTGTGTTAAAAATTATTATACTCGCTAGTAACCACGACATAATAACTGGATTAAATCGTTTTAAACCAAACTTTTAATAAAGTTAATTGTAATATTTAACCTTAAAGATTTTTCCCATTTAGTTACGACGTTTAGAAGGCTTTAAAAAGCGCGACGTTTAAAAGGTTTTTTTAAAAAGCTTTTAAGGCGTGTTTATTATAATCGCGTAAAATACCGCGTTAATAATAATCCGATTTGGCTTAGAGAAAACAGCTTTTTACTTGCCTTATAAATGTTCTTAAATCTTACGGTTAAGTTAGTTAAGAGTTTAATAATTAATAAATGGGATAAACGTAATTAAATATTTCTATCTAATTAATTAATTGATTAATTAATTAAATTGATGGTGTTTTAATTAAAATTTAACATTTTAGGCTTAAACCATAAGTTTATGTTTATCTTTTTAACTTGCTTAATCGTTATAATTAATTAAAAGTCGATGTGGTTAAAAAAGTACATAAGTATAAATTTATGATTTAAGTTTATTAAAATAAATAAATATAAGCAAATTAAATCGAATAATTTTTAATAATAATATAATTATTAATAAGCTTAATAGGATCGATAAAAATTAATTTAAAAATATTAAAACATTTTTAAAATATTATAATAATATTTTTTACGATAAATTTAAATAAAACGTGTAAAATATTAATAAATAATACTTATTTAAAACTAAAAAAATAACTTAAATAAAATTACTAAAAAAGATTTATTAGTTTTAAATAAATTATATATTAAAAGAAAGAAAAGGTTTAAAATTAATTTTTATAAGATAAGCCTTTTTACCTGTGTCCTTTTATCTTATCTATAGTAGGTGGCACCTGCCATAGTATCTCTTTATTATGCTTATGTAACGTGCATAAGTCTAATCCTTATTGACTTCTTGCTTAGTATGCACATATTTGCACAGTACAATACATTATAAAACCCAGAGAGCCGGGGCTGCCGATTGTTCTTAGGCGGCGGAGGCACTAGTCTGGATTCAGTAAGTAACTACGACTTGGCATTTCTATACAACTGGTTCCAGCTGTCCTAAATCCCTTTTTTAGGAAATGCACATGTCAAATGGTTCATTCGTTCATCACTGGCAGAATGATAACTTGAATAACTACCTCTGGCCTCTTTACCAAAACCTGCGATAACTTCGACTTTAAATTCACTTCAAATTTCAACCTCCACCAACACGACGCACTTTTACTGTCGTCGTCACACCCTCCTTTTTTTCTTTTCTTCTCTTACGGTCTATCCGTTTTTCCATCTTTTCCTACCTTGCCCCCCCCCCTACCTACCTCCCTACCTCCCTACCTGACCTAGCCTAGTACTATGATATGAATGCGTGCTGGTCATTGTCCACACTTCATTAGCCCATCATGACGCTTCCCTTTCGAGATATCAACGTCCACGTTGCGGCCGAATCCTATACTTTCACCTCACCCTCCTCTCCTAATGCGCCTGCTCTCATCGTTGATCGTCCTACCGGTGATGTAAGACTCAGTGAATCTACTCATTTCCCAAGCAAGCGTGTATCTCGTGTTTCTAGTATTCCTGGCATACTAGGTCTGATTAAACTGAGACTCGGTGAGTAATGCCTCCTTTATCGTCACCATTAATACCTGAGGTAAAATGCTAAACTGGCTTAGACAAATATGTCATCATCATTACCAAAGCCGAGCCCGTAGGCCGTTTAAGGGGCCATATGGTCTACAAAGTCATCTCGACCGATTTCCTACCTATGCGCGAACGACAAATCCGTGATCCCGACGAGGACCAGTTCCTATCACTACTCAAGACCTTTATCATGAAAGGCCCCATGTACTTCTCGTATTCCATCGACCTCACCAACAGCTTCCAAAGACAAGCCTCTTCGGACATTTCGAACCCGCTCTGGATGCGAGCCGACGATCGCTTCTTCTGGAATAGATTCGTCCAAACTGACCTCATCAACTTTCGGAGGACTGGCAATAGATCACAGCCTGGCCAGCAACCTGGCGCTGACCCCTATATTCTACCCATTGTGTGGGGAACCCTCGAGATCCGGCCTACGACATTCAAGAATACCCCCTTAACCTTAGTTTTAATTACCCGAAAATCACGGCATCGTGCCGGCACTAGATACTTCACCAGGGGCATCGATGAAGATGGGCATGCTGCAAATTACAATGAAACTGAACAGGTTGTTGTGCTCAACGACACTGGAAGGGGCCTGGGTGGATTCGCTGGAAGTAGTGACATGCAAAGCGGCAAATACGGCGAGGGGGCAGAGATGCAAGTATTATCCTACGTCCAAACCCGAGGTAGCATACCCGTGTATTGGGCCGAGATCAACGCACTCAAGTATACCCCTAAGCTTCAAGTCAGGGGTATCGAGACGGCCTTGGCAGGTGCCAAGAAGCATTTTGATGACCAGATCCGCATCTACGGAGATAACTACCTAGTAAATTTGGTCAACCAGTCAGGCCGCGAAAAGCGAATGAAGGATGCATACGAACAAATGGTGAAGATGTTGGTTTCTTCACCTTCAGAAAAGGTTAAGGGCGATGTGATTAGCGATGAGAAATTCCACGTCATTGAGCCTGCATCCTCGAAACAGGAGTACGATCGTGTACACTACGTATACTTTGACTTCCATCACGAGACCAAGGGCCTACAAATGCATAGGGCCATGCTACTCGTTGAACAACTTCAGGATGCTTTGATAGCACAGCAATATTTCCGTGGTGTGGATATGCCTGCCAATGGCGGTCTCGAAACTAGGAATTTCCAGACCAGCGTGGTACGAACAAATTGCATGGACTCTCTTGACCGCACCAACGTCGTTCAGAGTATGCTGGCACGATGGACATTGGACCGTATGTTCGTCGACCTCGGATTACTCCAGCGAGGGGAGACATTCGCCACTGCCGATCCTGCGTTCGAATTCCTCTTCCGAAACATTTGGGCCGACAATGCGGATACAGTCTCCAACTCGTACGCGGGCACTGGCGCCATGAAGACGGACATTACACGTCTAGGCACGCGTACCAAAGCAGGCATATTTGCCGACGGTAGGATAGCTGTGATGCGATACTATCTAAACAATTTCCGTGATGGTCCAAGACAGGATGCCTTCGATCTATTCCTAGGCGCCTACGAGCCAGCTACTGCTAACATCGGTTCTTCACTCGTGTTTGCCGACCGCCGACCAATCCTCATCCAAAGCATCCCTTACATATTTGCTTTTAGTCTATTCTTCGTATTGCTTGGCTTATTCACCAGACGTTCACCAGGCTCAACTGTATGGACTATCAGGATATTTGTCTTGTTTTGGCTCGTGGTAGCTGGATGGTGCTTCAGCTTTATTATCGGCAACGGAATGCTTTTCGTGAGTTTCTCTTTGCTTAGCGTACATATTACACTGTTGCGTATACTGACGAAAACACCTTACAGGTCAACTGGCCAAAACTCAACCCACGACCATGGGCCACTGAGGGCTATCAAGACGCCATCACCAAGGTCCGAAAAGATAAACTGCTTGGTCCCTTCGTAGCTCGGCATGAGCGTGGCCTCAGCGCCGCCCGGTATGTCAATGCCGAAGAAGGCAAGAAGAGGATTGAATAAACAGACAGACAGACAGACAGACAGACAGACAGACAGACAGACGGATATAGACAGACAGGGGGAGCCAATGGATCGAGGGGAAGTAAGTAGGCCTCCACCAATATTGTATTTTTAATCCTTTTTCTTTTTGTTCAACTACTACCGCATTGCTTCAAGGTTGTCGGCTATTCGCATACGGTGTAGAATAGGGTTTTGTGCTGCTGGAATAATCAATCTTCATAATCCTGTTTCTGTTCAATTTGAGGGTATGTTCGCTGCGTAGTTATTGGGTACCTCCTCGGCACCTACCTACTAAATCGGTGCCTATGTATTGTACCTTTACCCCAATGAATACAACTTAGCAGGGGGGGAAAGGTGTGCTATCCCCTTTCCATATAATAAGGTATGTAGGTCTACGATATCATTCAATGTTGTCTACCTACCTAAAGGTACCTGATCGTTTGGTACCTACATAGTAGGTGCACCTAATCTTGTGACCATTCAACAATAGCATTTTCACGGTGGTGTTGGACAATTTATTAGTCCTGTCTTTCATTTACTAGCATCAATATAACGGAACTAGGTGATAGTAGATATCTTAGTAGGTAGTTAGGTGGTAATATTATATTTTTACACTAAACAACAACGGAAGAAAAATCCTGGCTCTACACAAGTACTGTATCTTGTAGTATACTAACAGCTAGGGAAACGAAGTAATAGACAAATGTAGACAAGGAAAAGAAAAAAAAGTGAGATGAAAAAGGGAAGGCCCGTATAACCTCGTACAGTAACAATACACGTACACTCTGTCCTCCGTTGTGGTCTCATTTTGCTTGCTCCTTTTTTTCTCCTTTTTTGATTTGCTTTCTGTTGGTTTCCTGGAGAGCGATGATGGCAATAATACCGTATATATGCTAACCTGAGTTCCCATAGCACCCTGCTAAACCTAGGACGCCATGAATGCAATTGATTTGGTATTGTACTCAAGCCCGGTAAGGTGGGTGGTATGAGTGGATTTCGATAAAATGTCATTTTTGAGTGTAAGTATTAGCAAGTAACATGATGAACCGACAGACGGTGCAGGGGGGAAATTCGCCAAAGGGAAAGACACGATAAGGTATACATAACGATAACTGCCAAGTTTTGCGTCAGGTCTCATATATAGAAACAAGGGAATGGTGTGTGGTGAGTTAGTAGGTAGGTCGTCATCTCAAAAGATGGGAAAATAGACAGCGTGTCAAAACAAGTTTGAGAAAAAGCAGAAGCAAACAAACTAGAAAAGGGAAGAGAAAGGAAAGGAGAGGAGAAAAAGGAACGCAACCGCATGGGGTATCATCAGAGTGAAAAGCTTCATCCAAAAAGATTAATAATTCCTCCTTATTCTTCCCCTCTTGGGTGCTTGATAACGGAGTCGAGTCAAATATTGACACCTCTTTCTTCGACAGGCAAATCGACATCGTCTCCACAACCCTATGATAATTCTCTTCTTTTTTTCTCTCTTCTTAAAAGGATCGTCTTCGACTTTAGGCAGACCTCGCCTACAGCCAAAGCAACCACCTCACGACCCCCACAGCCCCTCTGCCAACTCCTAATACGACTCTGGCGACAGTTACCACAAACCACACATACCACATGAAGCCCACAAGTACCCACTCGACAGCAAGCCAGCCAGCACGACGCACCCATCTGAACCTTCTACGTCGGCGTCTGAGCATCTTGTCCATTGTATCCACGACACGCTTGACTTTTAGTCTCTGGCTATCGACTAGATCCCGACCAACCTCATCAGCCTCGTCCGTCGCGCGGCGCGTCATCTCCACAAGATCGCCTCCCACACGGTCGTGGAGCGCCTCGACGCGGCGGAGGAAGGTCGGCGCGATATCGGCCGCAAAACGAGCAATGCTAGCTTCTGAGATCTGAATAGAATGGTCGATGCTATGGGACAAGATTTGTGCCGTAACAGGGAACAGTTGGGTCTGCGGCGCGATCAAGGAGGCTTGCTCCTGAGACTTGAAAGGCGCGATATCAGCCCACGGAAGTTTTGGGCTCTTGTTATCGAGGGGGAAGATCGGGTGAGGTTCTTGTGAACGTCGTGAGATCTCCATAGCCTTGATGCCAGAGCACAAAATTAGGGTTCGAAGGCGCGCGACTTCGCGCCGAGAGATTTGGTTCCCTTGTGGTGATGATCCGCGGTTAGAGATGGACCAATGCCGGGCACCCTGTGATAACGCTCTAGATCCGAGACGTGGCCGTGCCGATATAGCTTGAGAAGGGGGTATAGAAGAGACATCGGATTCCTTTTTGGGGGATATCTCATTTGGTCTCTCAGCAAAGGTAATCGACTGGCGCTTGCGCGACTCGGCGTCGGAAAGATCTGGATCGTGATGTGTCCAGGCCTTTGTACGTTCAGGTGGTGAAGCTTTGCGAATGTCGATACGAGGTGGCTTGAGTCTATCAAAACGAGGTGATTTGACATTTCGCGAGATAGGGCTGGTCAAAACAGAGGAGTCTGTCTCTTCAGCGAGTGGTTTTTCGTGTGAAACCGTCGATTTAAACGGAGGCATGACCTCTAGATAATTCTTCTGGCGGATGCTATCACGCGGGTGTCGGAAACTGCTGCTGCGGGACAGATTAAGAGATTGCCTAAGTCTACCTCTCTTTGGCTCCTCGTCTGAGTCGGAGCTTGATGATGTTGACGAATCACTTTCGCCTTTTGAATTTTGTTTCCACAAGAGATCGGTCACTTTAGAAACACCGCCCCTTATCATTCCATCCAACTTGGCACTTCCCTTGAAGATGCCCCGTAAGCCAACTTGTTCATCGCCTTTCAGTTTAATGCTTCCCATACTACGATGAGACTTGTGGCTCTCATTTGTGGACCTCTGAACAATCTTGCGGGACAGGCTCTGAGACCTGCGCCGCTCCGGTGATTCAAACCTCTCTGCGGTAACTGCAGCGAGGTTCAGAGGTTCGGGGGGGTCAATGACTCTCTCATCATCCTTCTCACGAATCACGTAATCTCCTACGCGCTCCCGTTCTCGGCTACGATCGCGGAAGATGTTCTTGACTTTGGAGAAGGGCTTTCGGCTGGGAGATTCCGGTCGGCTTGCAGGTGGTGAGAGATCCATGCCAATGGTTGGAATTTGTGCGTTACGGCCTCGCGAAGGGGGCTGAGAAGAATACTCCAAATCCATCGATAACCTGTGACTGGGTCTAGGAACTTCCAAGCTTTGGCGTCCCGAACCTATCGGAGACTCCTGTGCTACTTTACCACGATTGATCTTGTCGTGGCTTTCAAGTGGCTCTATTCGTGAACGTCTGCGGCTATATAGTGGTTCGATTTTCTTTTCCGGTGATCCCATCCTCAATGGCAGTTCTTTAAGGTGTCTATAACCTATTTCGTTTGGATTCTCCTGTTTCTCTTTATTGGCTTCCTTTGCCAGCATATCCATGAATTGCTTTTCGAGGAGATCTGTACCGTCAGCACTAATTGTACCAGTACGATTCCGTCTCTTACGGTCGCTCTCACTATCAGACGTGTCTGATAAGGAACCCTTTCTGAACCTCAGGAAGTCATGATGGTTATGCGAGACCCCGCTCTGTTTATGGTGTAGGCCTCTAAGGTCTTGAAGTTTCTGCCGAGCGCGATCCCGAGCACTAGCATGAGAAACATCAAACTCAGGTTTATATGGGCTGATCAGGTCAGGTTCAGAACCAAGAACGGTATCGCCAACATCATCGTCCTTAATGAATGTAGAAACAACAGTTTCAGTCCCCTGTTGCAATGCTGACGTCTGAGGTTCGGGTTTGTGCGGAAAGACTTTTAAATAATGGCGGTCTTCGATAAGATACTTATTGTCTCCCTGTTCTAGCCAGTATATGTCTGCTAGCATGTCTGCAGGGTCAATACTCCAGTCAATTTTTGGTCTTTTTGGCCTTGTTGTTGATATAGGTCGTGGTAAATTAGAAGCAGGGAGCTCTTGATCGAAATTCTCATGTGCCCCTGGGAATGGAGGAAGCGAAGCGGGGCCACCAAGACCTGACTTAGCTGCAGAGGAAGCAGCTTCGTCAACCCAATTTGAGACCATCGGAATATCTGAAAAGCCCAGCGCTTCACCATCGATAACCCTACGTTCCCGAGCTCGAACTTTCCTATTTCGAATGTATTGAAGAGGATTGTAGTTTCGACCTAATTGAATTTGCAAAGACCCCGTTAAAGGAGACTTCGTATTCGTAGGAGATGTTGAGAAGTTAGATGATGATGGTCGAGACAACCCATTTTGTTCAAGGGGGGAGATAAATTGTAACAGCCTTCGATACTGAGCCATCAATTCTAGATATTCTCTAGCCTTCTGGGAGCGATTCAGTGTTGAAGATGAGAAATGATATTTATAACCACTCTCATGATCAAAAGCAGATTGAAGCGGGCTCGGTATTTTGGAAGCGGACGCAGGCCTTGGTGTTAAAGCTTTGTCGGGCTTTGGTGAAATGGTACGAGATGCTCTCCTCTGCTGCTGTAGATGCTGCTTAATATTAGGCCCAGCGGGACTTTCAGGAAGCTGAGCCAGGCGTGGAGGTATAGGGGTTGAAATGTTCCTTCTTGCTGCCAAACGTCTTGACTCGCTCAAGTTAAGAGCCATGTTCACGATCTGAGTAGAGTCGACATCAAGCGGTGACGGAGTCGATCGTCGAGTCGGGATTCTTGATGATCCCTGAGAGTCCTGCGACCCCTGTGAGTTTTGGGAGTATCGTCTTCCATTGTCAGCAAGCCTGCTTAGGGTTCGTATTCCTTGGCCATCACTCGATCTCCTTCCATCCTCAAGATCGATGCCCAGCCCCGCTCGAGTAAAACTTGTCGTATTTGACTTGTCTGGTGTTGTTTTTGGTCTACGGTTATCTACTGGTATTCGAGATCGTCTACGGCCGTCATCTCGACTCGCCGATCTCGTTTTGGATGGGTTATCCAACATGGTGTTAGAAAGAAGGAAACCGCCACTCGATCGGGGCTTATGCGATCGACGTCTTCGGTGTGCTTCATGATTGGAGTCTTTATTTCCCGGGCTCTGTGTGTGAGGAGTCGGCTTGGATTTGTCGAAGTCGGTACGAGATTGGGCCAAGGTGGTCGTGATCGTAGGGCCATCGAAGCTAACGGGTGGGCTAGATTCGCCAGTCTCGTAACTACCATAACTGCGTGACGATATTGGTGTTGATAATCGATGTTGGGAATGGTGAGGGACGCTAGGGTTCGCGGGTGAATCGGCATCGTGTTCTTTCATCGCGCCCATGGCGTCGGCCATATCAATATTCCCCCTCCCCTCACATACCAAGTGATGTTTTTTTTTAACAATAATCTAAATGGTAATGTGCTATCGCTTTTGAGGTATCCTATGGACAAGTCTGGACATTTTCAATACTTGAGAAGAAAGGGTTTCGAAATCCCTGATAATAGGAGCTTGCGATAGTAATGCAAATGACGAGACCAACGAGACCAAATTCGGCAGCGCAGATCCCCGAGGGTTTAAGCGGATACCTCTTGCTGGTTATTAGTTTAAGCGTTTTTTGTTTGTTTTTTTGGTCTAGGTAATATTACCTGCGTCGAATGGAGCCTTCTCAAGACTCGTCACTCGTGGACAAGAAAGATGATGTCTACAGATGGAGCGGTCGCGGTTCGCGGTAGGCCCAAAACTTACTAGGATCCTCCCGTTGCCCCCCGTTAACTTTATTTAGGGGACCCGGTTGCCGGTATTAGAATGCATGTGAAGTGGAGAAACTACCCAGGCAAGTGCATTAATTTACCTAGGTAACTGCATACGGGAATATTGTCTTAGCAAGGTCCATATAAGCTCGCATATGTACATACTAATATCAACGATGAATGGGCTTTCACATACATAGTACTATGTAGCTGGTAGAAGTCTTTTACCAAACAATGGTACATACATACCTGTGTAAATCTAACATGTCACCACTCATCAAATAACAATCTAATGCGTGTCGAGTCACACTTTACACGTCTAGCTCAGCTACATTTCATGACACAAGCTTCTGTAAATCAGTATTACGTACCTGGGATCAAGTGCATTGCTATGTCACAAGAAACATTAGTTCCGTACGCATCAACACAACATGAAAAATGAAAACCTCCAATCAATAAAAAGTATGCATAAGTCTTGACGCCGGAAAAATGCAATCAACTCCCATCTCCAAGTCTGCCAACGAACAAGACTTGAAAGTACAAAAAGACTAATTTTGGTGGATGGGAGAATCAATCCACTCCCCCATCTATAATGTTACGTACCTATCCAACCCCTTTCCAACCGCCTTCTCTTGATCTAATACCTATTCATGTTCTAGATCAACACCGACGTATCTACTGATCTGGCTTCAAATTACACTTCTAGTTAGGATTCGGAGTTAAATATGTATAGTCGACATGAGTAATAGGATATGAAGTGAACACCGAACACCAAAGAAATTGCGTGCCTAGTTCGAATGTGTGGCAGATAATCTTCCAATCGGGTCTGCCTTGCATTTTCACTCAGATGCATTCAATTATGACGTAATAGAAAATCCCAGCGTCAGATCCCTCGGGTGAGATCTCGCAGCAAGTATTTGAGGGACTGCGACGTTTTCGAACCAAGACCGAGCATTTGGCTGCAGGAGGCTTCGCTTCGCCGCCGGGGCGGCAGGCTTGGCGGCGTTATTGATCGAAACGTATACGGCAACAACGATGACAATAATCGCAATGATAAGAACTGATAAAAGTGAGCATGCTGTCTCTCGAAATGGCCATACAAAGAGAAACAAAAGAAAAAACATACCGACGATTCCCAGGCAGATCCACTTCTTCTTGCGCGTAGCTCGGGCAGTGTTAACAGCTGTACCAACTTCCATATTACCCTTGTCGAGATTCTCTACGACCTCTTCGGCCTTCTGCTCAATGTTGGCAATGGGAACCTCTTGTTGTATGATCAAGGTGTCCATGTCTTGGAATAGCTGGGCGAGTTCAATCATCTGCTGCTCAATCTTTTTGAGTTGGGCATGTCGATCTTGCACGGCGCTTAGAACGGACTGGGCCTGTCCGCGGCGATTGCTCTGCATTAATGCTTGCTGGAAAACCTGACCACCAGTCTGATCCTCAACAGCAGCTCGCACTTCTTCCTCGTCGGCGTCAGGCCGCACGATACGGTATTGTCGCGCCATTTGCTCTTGGGTCTTCTTGCGGAAGGCCGACTCGACACCCTGGTAGGCTCGGATAGCATCCTTCAATCTAGTGTCGACGCGACGAACTTGTTGGGTATACTTCTGCTGGCTCTCGGGGTTGCTCTTGAGTTGTCGTACTCGGTCGGTCAAGGCTCTATAGTGAGCCATGGTCTCGGAGCTAAGCGCATCAAGTTGACGGTTGGTATTGCTCGTGGCAGATGCATCTGCATCATCGAGAGCTCTTTGCTGGAGCATTCTGAGTTGGTCGAGGTTTTGGTCAATCATATCGATCCCGCGATTAATTTCTGAGACCTCGTTGAGGACGTTTTTCGGGCTTCCAAAAGAGTGGCCCTGGTCGGCGAGCAAGGCCATCTCGACATTGTTTGCTATGCTTCATTAGTGGGTTTTCGCGTATCTATCTCGCGACAACACAACATACCACCGTATTCATCTCGTCCCATATTGGGGCCGCCGTAGCCACCACCATTGCCACCAATTTCATTTTCCCGCTGGTCGAAGGGGTTTTGTTGCCCGCCGTATCTACATTAGTCAGTTATTGTTGCGGGTGTATTTTCGCTGCTCCAAATAATAATAGGGGTAACTAACCCGTACTGTGGTTGTGCCATAATGTTCGTTAGCAGATTGTCTATGTTGGAAATAATAATAAAACAAGAGTTTGAAGAGAAAACACGAATATAAGGGGAAAGGGCAATTGGGCTTTTTTTCAGTGACTGATGAAACACTCAAGGGGTGAACTTCTTACACTCATCGTGCTTCAGGGCTTTGTCTGCTAAGGAAGCAGACTTGGCTAGCCTGAAGGGATTGACTGTTTGGTATGGGAATGTCTGGCGCAGGAACCCAGGGATATCGATATTAATTGTCTGTTTTGAGGGTAACAGAATAAAAAAAAAAGCACAAAAATTAAAATATAAAAAGAACCAACACAACAACAATGAAGCTTCGCAGTGAAAAAGGATAGGAAGATCGTGTAATAATAGGTATGTTTGGGTTAGCAAGAACTTTGGAAGTAAGCTGACAGCTGAAGGAAAAGGGTCTTGAAGAAACTAAGGCTAAGCCGATACACTACTAGCGTAAATACCTACCTAGGGTAGCGTAGGTAATAGATGAGGCACTAAAAGCGGGTAAACGCTCATTCGGGCAATGCACCAAGCCAGACCTGAGCCAATCGTTTCTCGATTTTGTATCGTTCTGAACAGCCACTTGGATGTTGTTGGTTTAGAAGGACCCAATCTCTAACGGTGTACACTACACTAGGTTAGGTTACTAGGTACTGTCACTACATAGTTACATGTATTGTACATCTGGATGGGTACATAAATAGATTCCGTCGAATCCTTTCAAGCCTTGGCATCCGTGATGCACTTACATACATACATATGTAGAATTTATATGTATACATACGTAGTATGTAAAACACTTCATAGGTAAGATGCAAATTGATTATACGACCATTAAGACTACTGATTGTATAGTACCTAGTATCTGGTATTCTTGGAACATTAGATTTTCTAATAAACGCTAATAGGCCTGTTGGGTACCCGCCGGTGAGATTGGATGGCAGGGCAATTCCTAGCTTAGGCTATGTGCAAACAGGGAAGTACGGCGTAGTAAAGGTCATCTTCCAAACTTCAATGTTTTTTTAAGTCCTGACTTAACTAACTACCCTACGTACCCTAGGCAGGGTTATGTATGTACATAGCTCAAGCCATTGAAGCCTCAATCGTAGGCTCTGTGATAGTAGGGAGTCACCTATTAAAGCAACATGGCAGTCGCATGGAAAACTCAAGAGCCCCATCTTTTTTAATGCACACAGCAACTCACGATGCTGACAAGGGCGACTTTCGCTTCGGCTTGCGAAGATCCACGAATGGCCAACTAGGTCAGACATCAGCCCTGCATACTAACATTGAAGCTGTACATTAGCTCGTCTACCTAGTAATACAGCCATCACATAACTACTATGTAGATACTGATAGGGACCTCCAACGGCGCTAAGGCCGTGTCTTGGAAATACAGCCAGGTTAAGCCACGCGATAGATGATGGAGAGGAATTCTTCAATGATATATTTATTGTCCGTTAGTCTTACACAACCCGGTAGGGAAGATCACGGATGAAGTGTCAGATCTGCCCCTATCGTGGTATTATCCGTGCATATTCAACAATTCCCGTTTCAATTACATATGTCGATCCATACCAATTGAACCCTTGCCACCCAGGGTAGGCTACGAAGCATTTTAGTGTAAATATTCTCCGAATCGCCGTCTCGCCCAACTATCGACACATTCAACGGCTGACAACGGCCAGGCACTCGGATCTTAAATAATTATCAGGTAATTATTCATCATGCCCTTGAGAGTTAGGTGTGAGCCTAGGTAGGTACTTCTTTGTAACTATGTACAACTATCGCAATACTAGGTTTGTATTGTTCGACTCTTCGGTTGTTCGTAGTTGCAGATGTTAGCTCCGTTAAATTCAATATTGGAGAATCAAAATCCTCGCATTGTAACACGCCTTGATACCGAATATATCATGTCCCCCGGTGACGATATTAGCCCACACCATAATAAGACTGAGAAAGGTTCCTCGATATTCAGGCCCAGAGCTACGTAGATTTAACGGGACTATCAAGAATACACTGGCCACTCCACGGCCTACATCATCTTGGTTTAGTATATGCAACATAGATGCCCGCCTGAACTAACAGCGAGCTTAATAGGAACTGCCACCCCCTTGACCGACATAAAGAGCCCAATGGTACAATCATGTGCAGCTTCATCAGCCCTAGCCATCGCGGATTAACTACTGTCAGCTATTACACAGGGTAACCAGGTGTTATCCCACTCGCCAAATAAGTCCAAATAGCAACATCTTGTGTCTAACGGGGTAGGAACTTCGGGAATTTTACTCAGTTCAAAATTGGTAAAGCTAGCTCTAGCCTCTAGACAGTTACTTGGAGAGGCAGTTTATAACGGCCAATCGATTTTAACCCTCAGCCGCATCTTCTGATCTAACTTGATGGAATGTGGACTACGCGTCTGCTTATTCGCATATCGCCCCCTCTCTTCACCAGGGCATGTCCTCAACCACTTTTTATCAAATAATTGCATAAGCAGACGCATAGCTCACGCTCGAGTCGGAGACATCCTCGACCAAGTTGCTCCGCTGGTACTGCACGAACTTGAAGCGATACTTGCCCTCCTCCGGATTCTCCTTCGCCAACTCCTCCAGCGCCGCCATCATGACACCAATAGGATGTCGTCCGCACACCGTGTTTTTGGTCAATCGGAGGTTGTCAACGAACTTGTTGTGGTCGCCGGACTCAACCGCGTCCATGGCCAGATGGTCCACCTGCTTAATGCTCTCATGTATGGGCGGGTTTGTGGGGATTGCTGTTTTTCTGGACAGAGACTGTAGCTGCTCAACCTTGCCTTCGGGCGCGTATGCCGTATAGCTGAACCGCGAGCCCCAGTGACAAAAATCGGAGCTCACAATGAAAGCATTATCGGGGTCTTGTAGATAGGGCGCCAATATCTTACCAAACTCTTTTTCTTCTGCGCCGTTGTTATCCCCGACGAGGATCGGTACGATGGTAGGGAATTCAGTGTCGGAGGCAAACGTCTGCGTTAAGCGTTTATAAAGATACGGTAGGTGCATCTCAAGCGAGTGCTCGTCGACGTCGCTTCTTGAAGGGATATCCTGGAACTTGCCCGTGTCACGTAGCTCCTGGATAACTTTTTCGTCCACCGTCAAGTCGCCGAACGGGGTGCCGTATTGGGCGAACTTGGTAAGAGCACACCCGCGAAGATAGTATGTATGTGAGGGTCCAAGGACGAAGACTCGCTTAGCTTTACTGAGGTCAAGAGCCTTGTAGGCCCAGGCTGCACATGGCCCCGAGTATGAGTAGCCTGCGTGCCTTTGGGGCGTTGCTAAAGTTAGGAGTTCTGTGGTTCACACAATAAAGGAACAGCAGGAAGTAACACGTACGGAGCAATGACGACCTTAGCATAGGGAATCGGTAGGCTACTGCCGTTGAGAGAGCTCGGGACCTGGCTTAGGAAGCTGTCTAGCTGGTTAGATAAGGTATCCGGGACCCCATCGTACCAGCTATATGCATGACTGGCCTCTCGAGTTCCTTTTTGCTTCATCGTGTTTTTTGCTCAAGAAGTTGGTGTATTATGAAACGCTACGAAAGATGCGATGAAGATGTACAAACGAGCGAATGTAGGATACATAGGGTTCAATGTCTGTACGTATTATAGTTGAATGATAACATTGAGGTCTTGAAGTACCTAGGGTACGTAATAATGCCTACCTACATACCTAGTAGTACTAGGTAGGGTACGTACATGATGTACTTACCTACCTCCAGATGTCGTTGCCCCGCGTTGTTTAACTTGGTTAGCTTACAACGTAGATTGGAAACTGCGCAGGTGGTCCATCATTAGTTATGGTTACCTGAATAACTATTATCTATCCTTTATGTACATATTTTAACAACTTGAATTAATGGATGAGTTATGCCCACCTTAGGTAGGTAGGTACTTTTTATATCGTGCCGAGAATTATTACATACATGGATTTATTACTCATTTCCAGCTTATACCGTTCTAGTTCTTGACTTTTCGCTCACTTTTACAGAGAGTAGTTTTAGTCTCAACTTAGTAAATTGTTGCGATTGATGTAAATAGACGGTGTTCGACATTTACTTAGTTTACACTTGTACCTTTTTCATCAGCCACACATGAAGCTATCGCACGGGCCGGGTGGAGCATTGTCCTGACCGCGGTGAGGATAACCCGGAAGGCAGCTTGATCCTCCCCTTGCTGTCACATGACAGCGCTCAACCGAAGAGTTCGATCAATGGCCAAGTAGGCCGACTATCTGATCGTCTCGGGAGGGGTGAGGCCAGCCTTGTTGTAGTATAAGGGCTTGTCAAAGATGGACACCTCGCTTCACAACAGCAATGATAATTCATAGTTGACAGCTGGGCGTATGGACACCTCGACGAGGACTTGGTAAGGTAGGGGACAAGAGCATGTGTATCCGAGCAAGGGGAAATGTTCAGATTACCTTTCCAACATATTTCCATGAAGGGTTATCAAGTGTCTGCCCGGGATGATATAGGGGGTTACATGGAATAAAGATAGCATGCATGTATATGTAGCTTGTATAGCCTCTATATCCTTGGGGAGATGTTGGAGATCCCGGCGCAATAACGACGTTCTGCGTTTTCTAAGTTCCGCCTGATGACAGAATGAATGAATGTGGAAAATAGAAGATTGAATATGTCCATGAATATTCTACCCTAGGTAGGTAGGGTCATCCTACAGAGATAAAGGAAAAGAGAAGATGAAGCAAGATTTAATTTGACTATTGCCGCATGGCCGTATTTTCCTCGCAAGTAACGAAAGGAGGCTATCACGGCCCATATAGTACCTTAGGTATATAGCGTTATATTAACCCGGCGTCCTTGCCTTGTCTGGGTATGGTATAAAATCACTTTCAACCCCCTATGCCATGTAAGTTGACGCATCTGTCGTATTTAACTTGGCATACCTGCTGTCTTTCATATATTGGACTTCAAAGTTGCCCGTCTACAATACAGTGTTACTTTGCTTAACGTACCTGCTCTATGTATAATATGACCGGGCATAAACAATAGACGTAAACCCTAAACATAACCCAAAGTACCTGCTTTTTCATATTATAGCATACCCCCCTACTATGTACTTTTCCTAACCCTCAACTGCTAACATTGAACTACTTCCCTTTCATACAAAATTGAAGTACCACAAGATGTAGAAGTTCAAGGCTTTACATAATGAGTTGAAATGTGTGAGTTTTTGATGGCCTTAAAAGCCTAACCGCATATCCGACTAGACAGATGGTTTACTAGGTTTGAGACCTTGGGTAATTAGGTATAGATACCTAGTTATCCTACCAAGGACACTATGCATGTACGCAAGTTAGTAACATCAGTAACCGTGCGACGTTGAGATCTACTAGGTAGATGAAAGGGTATCACGTGAGAACATTATAGGTTAAATAATCATAAGGATAATATATCCCCTTAAGTAGCATAAAGCAACAGCAGACACACCGTTACTAAAATTAATAGCAGATACATCCAAGCCAATTTACCCACCGCCCCATAAATCTATTATCCAATAAAATCAACAAATTCTATAAATACTTAATTTACCACTTATTTTGGCATATGCCACTTGTACCAACAATACTTAAAATTACATAAAGCCACATTACAAATGCCACATCAAAATCGTAACTTAATGTTTACCATACTTTCTGGCATCAGCTTTGTTTACCATTCAGCTTTAATCTTCGACGAAAACGTCCCCAAATAACTATGGTTTCCTTGACAAACTTACCCCTTACAAATCGTTTAAAAGCCGCTTTTGCGTACAGATACGGACGAGCCGTAAAAAAGAATAGCCTCATCTAAGATACGGCTTATCCAAGTCGCGTATCGTGATATTTCTCGGTAGGATATTTATCGAAATAAATAGCGTACCGGTTTTAGGATTGGAAAAAGCTTTAAGACGACGTATAGCTAGATTGATATCGTCAGTTTAAGTGGCGCCCTTAAAAAACTAATTATCGAAATCATACTCAATTACAATTACACCAAACGCCAGAATAACCTAACGCCGGCCAGCTTTATATTATACCGCGTTATATTTGAAGAAAAAATAGATCAATATATGAGGTTTTGGGTAAATGTGGGAATAATGGATTGAAAACGATATACTAAATGTTATTTTTAGTAACGGTATGTCTGCTGCTGCTTTATGCCACTTAAGGGGATAGTATAACGCTTAGACAGCTGCTAAGTCTTGGTATTTACTTTGACAGTTAGGAAGCACTTGCAAACTTGGAATACCCACAGCTCATTAACAGTCACTGTTTGTGATATTTGGGGACATCTTCAGAGCCAGCTAAGGGGGAACCTCGTAAATTTGTGCAGGTTATATATAAAGATAAGGCTAAGTAGATGTTTGCGTTACATAAACTGCCCACTGTTAAGATATAGGCCCGACGCTACCGGCGAGTCTGGAAGAGATGGAAATCATCGGTGGTCTTATCTACGGCGCAAACCGTACACATTGCAATTAGCCTTATGAAACACCTTCCGCATGGCTGCTTGTACACAGCACAAAATCCTGTTACGTTACTAGGTGCCTGGGTAAATGATGAGATATCTTCCGTTGTAAGAATTTCACAATAGGGGGGGAGAAAAACGCCTATATACCGAAGTAAACAAAATAATGGGAAAAATTGGACGAAAATGAAACGTGGTGCCTTTATTAGGGACTTATAACGGGATATCTTAACTTGATCCCTACTGAGTAAAGGCAAGTGCTGAATCCATCTAACTCCGGCGCTTACCCAGCCTTCTCTTCTAAATGCTCACTCGAAGCTGACCAATCCAGGATGCCCCTCAAATGCACATTCTAGAGGCCCCTATATTTTCTTTTTCTGAATCATATCCCACCCCTTGACAAGCTAATGAACTCTCACGCCATTTACTCCAGCCCAGCCGAGGCCACCAACCCAGACTTTCTTCCCGGCACATATCAAGCATCGTCGCTGCTGGGCCAAGTTGGTAATAGAGCAATGGGAGCAGACGTGTTTTCCGCAGGCAGTGCAGCTCGTCGGGGCTTCTGCGCCAAAACCATCCATATCCATGGAGTCATCATCACCCGCCCCTTCCCGAAGCGCTTGACCACAGTCCTCGCAATTGGTCGGCCCATCGTAGACTAGGTGATCAACAGAAGGTAGTGCTGGATTGTTCGAAGAAGCTGTCGAGCTAGGTAGCTTCCAAAAGTTGTGCAGAGATGCCTGAGCTCCTTGAGAAGGTGTCATCGGGGCCTGAGGCTGGGCCTCCGGTTGCGGCTGGATGGTAAGGTTGCCTAGTTGACAGAGTTGTAGGTGATTATGGTGTGCGATGTGCTGCTTCTGGGCCGTGTAAAGCATGCTCAAGGTGCGTTCTATGGTATATTTTGTTGAGAAGCTGCTCATTTGACTAAATTTGGGGGGTGGGGAGGAGTATGAAACGTACGATGGATTTCCTCGTCCGAGGGACGGTTGTTGCGAAGGCGCTTACGGGTACGGCTGGGCAGATGAGCAGGTGTGGTGCTTCGTAGGGGTGACGTGTTATTATCGCTATCCATGTCCATCATTATGAATTGGTCTGGCCGTGATGGCGAGCTGAAAGCGCTACAGGAATTGAATGAGAGCTCTGATCCAGAGCGCTTGCGCTTGAAAGCCATTGTGATGATTTAAAAGGTTAATTTGGCACAATATTAAAAGGACTATAAAGTTGGGGATATGAAGAGTATATTGGGGAATGATGAAGAGGAAGATCAGGCTAGTTAGTGTTTAGTGTTTTGGGTGATGAGGTGAAGATAGGATTAGATAAAGTCAATGACTGGAGGGTAAGATGGAAAACTGAGAGGTTCAATTAAGAAATGGTCCTTTTCAGCTTTGTGTCACAGCACTAAAAGTAGGATACTGAAGGTACTAGCTTTACTGTGCCAGTGCACTTTCCCCTCCTGAGTTCTGCCCTCTTATTTCGTATTGCCAGTCGTACCACGAAATTGTGAAATGGCTGGAAATCGCGACCTACTACTAGTAGTAGTCGCGCCATAGAAGGCGCGAAGACTACTCAATTATAGCGCGTCTCGTTCGTGTTAATTGAATGCCAAGCCTTTCACTTACCTAACCTAGAGTACTTCTCTATCTTATCCCTGGTTAGTATCTCCACCTACATATATTATATGGACATACACACCTTCGTGGAGTAGATAGTCGTCCAAGTTGCCAACTGGAATCCAGTCCAATATTCTCGAGATCTTCAATTCCCATTCTTCTAAAGAAGCCATGTGAAAATGATACTGAAGTAGTCCAAATATCATTTATAAAATTGAATAAGCTCATACTATCATATTTATATCCTTGTATCCTTGCTAAACCTTATTTATATCTTCGATCTATCCTGAAATAATCAGACTCGCTCCCTTTATCCCCTTTATACATACAAGCACACTACAATATGATCGCGCCCAATAGCACAGCAAATGATGCGGCTCCCATGCACAACAGTGGCGAGGATAATCCAGTTGTGCCTGTTGCCATATTCGTAGTCGGAGTAGCAACCGTGGTACTTGCAGCTGCTGAAGCGGCGGACGACGCGGCGGATGAGGCAGCGGAGGCAACCGAGTGAGCGCTTTGAACAGCCGAGGAGGCTGCAGACTGGTCACTGCCAGTAGCAGTAGAGGCAACGCTCTCAGCGCTAGCAACAACATCGCTAGCACTCGAAACAGCGGCGTTGGCTGAAGATACAGCAGCCTGGCCGGCCGTGGAGGCTACACTCTCAGCGCTATTGACCACAGAGGTGGCTAAGCTTTCAGCACTGTTGGCTACGGAAGTGGCCAGGCTTTCTGCACTGTTTGCAATCGTTGAGCCGAGGCCTTCGGCGCTGGTGGCCACCGAGTTGGCAAAACTATCGGCGGAGCTGGCAATGCTGTTTCCGACCGACTCCCATGATTGGCCTAGCGATTGCCCGGCACTGGCCCAAGAGCTTGCCAAACTTTCTGCCGAATTAGCAACCGATTGCCAGTCTTGACGTCTACCAAAGTGGCCTGCAATACTGTTGGCAATCGCCACGACCTCGCTGGCGGCTGCCTCGGCTGCAGACTCTGCAACCTCCCATGCTTGTCGTGCATGCAGAATATCTCGTTTATCGAAGTGTTCTGCTATGCTGCTTGCTGCCGCATCTATCTCGCTTGCGGCTGCTTCGGCTGCCGATTGAACGTTGTCCCAATCCTGCCGTTCATCAAGCTCGCGTCTCCCATACTGAGCCGCTATGCTGCTAGCCGCCGCTGCCGCCTGGCTAGCGGCGGCCAAAGCAGCGCTTTCCGCTTGTTGCCAACTTCCACCTTGTCCCTGTTGTGCTGCGATCGAACTAGCCCGTGCTTGCGCTGCACTGGCTACGGCGAGTGCCGAGGATAGAGAGGCCTGCCAGGATTGGCGTCCCTTCAAATTCTTCAATACAGGAGCAGGTGTGATCATGGCATCCCGAGGAACTTGCTCGGCAACGTGGGCTACGGCTACTGTAGCCATGATAAGCGAGGCTGTGATGAAACGCATGGTGTCTGATTGAATAATTATGTTTTTTTCTAAGCTGTAGGTGAAGTGCTAGAGTCTTGTGTTTATGAGAGCGGCCTGTCTAAAGTAAGTGAGAGAATCTCTTTTCTTTATACATCCATATGGATAGCTTACGAGTAAATCATCAAAGGAAAGTCCCCTCAAACTTGAGACTTGCCTTACGGTTTAAGCCGAGTCTACGTATGTAGTGTTTGTCTCACTTTGTCATACCGTACCTATGTTGTACATGAGAACTTTCGTCATGAATCAAGCTTGTAGTAATGTGGACCATCTAGATTCAGAAATAATATTATTAATCCACATAATGTATCGGAAGGCTACCTGCTTGAACGAAATGGAACCGTCCTGAACGGCCAACAGCAATGGAGAGGTTGGGGTTGGGTGGGATACATATTAGGTGTGTACCTCCCGCTGCAGCCGCGCCAAGGTAGGATATCGGTTCTGCCAAGTTGCGGAATGATGACGATGCGGGCCGGTTGGCTGCGTGCCTGGTGCTTCAGCTAACAAGCCATGTCCCGGACTGTGTTGCGTTAGCTCGCAGACCATCACCACCAATAGAGATCCAGAGAAATCGTGGGATGTCGTATTACATGTAGATTAAAGATCAATGATATGTATATGCTAGTTCGATGGCGCTATCCCCTTGCTTTGCCACTCTGTGTCCTGTCCACGTACCAAGTACCTACTTCAACAACGGTAGGTACTATACATGTACTAGTTACCTCACTCATTCAAAGTAAAAAGAAAAGAAAAAAACTTCGATGAATACCGTTACTCTTGTCTTGGTTATTTTATATCCCGTTACGCTAACCTGGAAATTCAGCATGTGACTAGCCACCTTTAGACACAAGGGAGATCAGCGGCGTTTCCCAAGCATTACCTTCATACCCGACGTAGACTGGGCGGCCTGGCTTTAGACACGGCACGATTTGATCCGACGGCAATTATCCACGCCGATCGGGCCAAGGGCATCGTGTATCTTTGGTTCGGCCGTGATCTAGGTTCCACGGTATAAGCGGTATAAGCGTAGGCTAGCATAACATCTCGACTTACCAAACCAAAGGTATCGGTAACATTTAGGTTGGGCGTGAATATCTAGAAGCTTTACTGCTCGCACAACGTCCTTCATGGTACTGTAGTCTAGGCTTCCCAAATATACCACAATTTCAACAAGTAAGCAGTGGCACACCGGTAAGGACTTGCTTTTCTTCACTAATACGCCATGCTATTGTTTACCTATGTATGTACGGCTAGCACTCATATGTACCTAGAAAGGGTTGTTTTGTTTTGATCCACTAGAAGCTTGCTTGGCTTATAATAATAGACCACGCATAAGCTCGCAGAGACAGTTCCTAAGATGTATCGATTGCCTGCTGTTGCTACATTAAATCTTTCATCGTTTACCTGGTAAGTGTATTGCCCCGTCTCGCCTTCTCGGAACCTCCCTTGACCAATATTAGTTATTCTTGTTAATTGTATTTCATTGATCCGCCAATGACTGAGGGCAAACGTTTAATCAAGATTGGGCCCGAGACCATGGATCTGGACTAGGGATCCATGGGGTGCCGAGCTCTGCCTATTTCACTGCAGTGTAACATTGGTTAGACGTCTGTAGTAGGTGGGTAAAAAGGTAGGCAACTAACGAACGATACGAAGGTAGGGTACTATGTTTGTATGAAACAAAAGGAATACGCTGGCAGACAGGCAGGCAGGCAGGCAGACAGACAGGCACGGATGCTATGTGACGTTACAGACAATGAGAGCCGCAACGCAAGAGATGCCTTATGGAGTCACCAGTTCATCTCGCATACACAGGTATGTTGCGCTGTACGCATACCTAGGTACTAGGTAGATTTATATCTAGGTAGATACCTTGTATCTAGTGAGCTTCATGTGGTATGACAACGCCTCCCCGGTGGTTATCACGAGGTGGACCCGTATCACCACCTTCTTGATGTTGCAACAGCTCCCTACCTGCCTAGGTAAGTACAAATAGATCCGATTTGGCGCAGGTACTTCTGAGCAAAAAACCTTCTGTATCTATCAACACCAAGTAGGCGGGCAGGTAAGGCTGAACGCCTTCGTTTCCAACTTCCTATCTCATCGCTACCGCCGATCTCAGACACCGGAAGTGGCGTGTGAGGCGCTATATCTAGGATATACTGGCTATTACTTGATGCTGAACATACAAGTACTGATTATATAGCAGTTGATGATGGATGGGAGCTAAAAGTTGGAATTCTTGGAATCTTTGGCGCCCCCTTCACTCCGCTACTGGATCATTACGGCCTATGAAATAACACGCCGCACGCCTCATGATCCCAGGGAATTGGGCGTGGTAACTTCTCAATGCATGTCAGCCCGCTTCCTCAGCTGGCATAAGACAGTGGTAGACTGGTAGCACATCCCCGGACGGAATTAAGGTAAGAAGTCTACATCCACCTACAGGAAGGGTGGGAGAAACGACGAGGTGGCGTATCTGGGACTTAGCACGTGGGAAATAGACGCTGTAGCGGGATGGACGACGTAGGCGGCTGCTCGAAGCTTTCGTGATCGATCTCTATGGGTCTAGTATCATCGGGGGATGCTTAGCTCTAGTGAACCATCTTGTGGTACTATCGCAGTCTTTGATAGCTACAACTCGGAATCGAATAATACTACCACATAAGCGAAATGCTTAGTTGAGGGGAATGGAATGGGAATAGGTATTATGTTTTCCGGAACATACACATGGCTACCTTCTACTATGTAGGTGTCTAATGGGCACTGGTCTTATCAAATCCAAACAACAGGCTTCACAAGTAGGTCAAAAATAGGACAGTTATACACATGTTATTGAAGCCTAGAGTTCCTATAGTCCATCTATCTCAAACACATTATAAAATTATATAGCTCTACAGCTGAATGCGTGTAATGTACGCGTAGGAATAAGATCCACCTCAAGATAGAGAGATGGATTTGGCCTCGTGAAGCCGTACTTGTACACCGGTGCCAGATCGATTCTCGATGGCGTGGTGTAGTCTTATCTTTCCATCTCCCTCCTCCATGTTCTCGATGCGGTCATATCTCTGGCAAAACCGCGAGACCACGTAGCTTACTTCCTGTCGCCCGAATTGCTCTGCGAAGAACGTCATGTTAGCGTAACACACTTTACTTTATCAAACATACCCCCTAGAGAGGCCGAAAGGGAAGAATGGGGAATGAGAGAAAAAGGGGAAGGAAAGGTGAGAACGCACGACCCAAACATTTCCTCGCGCCAGCGCCAAATGGAATGAACTCCCACCCGGGGCGATGCGTCTCCCACCTCTCGGGGCGGAACTCCTCGACATCGGCACCCCAAATGTCAGCTCGGTGCTGCATGGCATACAGGGGCACCAGAACCTGTGTTCCCTCGGGCACGAAGACACGGGCCTTGCCGTCGGGGCCGCCGCCGCGGGGGAGCACGGTGTCGCGGAGAGCGATGCGCTCGTTCAGGGGGATGACAGTGGCGACGCGCAGGGTCTCGCTGATTACCCACTGCAGATACGGTACATGGTTAAGGGCACGGAAGTCAGCCAGCGACTCGCCAAACTCGTCTAGGATGGACCGCCGCAGCCGCGAGTATACGGCTGGGTGTCGCGCCAAAAAGTACAACACCCAGCCAAGCAAGCACCCTGTCGTGTCCCGTCCCGCGATCAGCACGTGCAGCGTCTCGTTGCGCAGCTCCTGCGGGTCCTGTGTCGTGTGTGCTAGCTCGTTGAGGAGGTTAAAACGTCTCGCGCCCTTTTCTGGGTCGCTCTGCTGCTTCTTCAGGCGTGAGGAGGAGCGTTCAGCCAGTCGGTCAGCTACGATGCCGTCGGCAAAGGCATGGATGGCGGCGCAGTGCTCCGTGAACTCCTTGCTATTCATCAACCAGTAGAACTTCGCGAGTGCGCCGCGCTTATCGATCCAGACCTTGGCCGCGTTGAAGTGGCGGCTTAGGTCCTCCTTTTCGCCGTCGCTGTTGTCCGGCAATAGTAGAGAGTTCGCCGAGTGCCCGAAGATGAACTCGGTCGCAGTATCTAGCGTGAACTTGAAGAAGAGCGGCGCCAGGTCGGTCTTATCCGTCCAGCCCGTGCTAGCATCGGCAGAGAGTCGCCGCCAGAGGTGCTGAAGATGGTCCTCCTCCAGCTGCGGATCGCTGATCATCTCGCGGGCGAACTGGGGCCGCACGAGAGCGCGGCTGTGCTTCCATGTATCGCCGCGACTGGTGAATATGCCTTTGCCGAGCAGCGGCATCCAGCTGAGCTGGCGGTGGTGGCTAATGTCAAAGTCGGAGCTGGTGAAGAGGGTCCGGGCATTCTCAGGGTCGCGGGTGACTAAGACCTCGTAGTCGATGATAGGCACCTTGATAGTATGACAGTTGGGCGAGACGGCGTCCATCTTCTCCATGACGTATTGGGGACCGTGGTCCTCCTTGGTGGCCTTCATGGACTCCCGGAGAATGGAGTTACCAATGAAGTTGGTGCTGCGGAGCACAGGAGGTGGCTGGCAGCCCAACGCAGCTGCCTTTGCATTGTTGCGGCGCTTCTTAAGCTTGGACTTGACGACAGTCCATGTTAAGAAGAGCACGAGGAGTATGATGCCACTGCTCACGTAACTGAACATGATGATCACGATAAGGCGCTACTGTAGCTCGGAAGGGGTAGTAGTGACTAAGGAATAGCAATGGAGAAAGTGGTAGATAACAATAAGCAATAAGCAAATTTAAAATGTGACGAGCCCAGGGGATTCTGCTTTGTTTAGGTATCATCTACTACCTACATAGGTAGATATGATGTCCCTCTGCAAATTCAAATGTTGTCCACTCCCTTAGAGTGACCATCCACAATTCAGCTTCGAGGCTAATTCTATATGGATATGGAGACAACAGCTATGCACGTAGTAAGCATTCCAACAACTAACCAGTGTTGTGGGAACGATCACTTATCAGTCTCACCAACTCCATCCTCCTAATATTCACTAAACTTAGGGACTAGTACATTTTATTCCCAAAAATGACAATGTGTCTACATAGACAGAGGGGTGCTCATAGGCCATTAGCACTCTATGTCTTCCATGATGCGAGCTGCCAATGTTTCTGACATTTTCCCTATGTCTTGTTATGTATGTGTGGACAATGGCCAAGTTTGTGCCCAAGTGACGCTGAAAGGCGCGCCGACGATAACATGAAGATCGTCATCGACATGGCGGCCATTGGTCAAGTTTCTTGCGTGTGGCTTTTGATATGTATGTATTGTACTATACCATACTACACTAGAAAGAAAAGGGGGGTGAAGTACTGCTAGTAGTACTCAGTACATTGACATGAGTACCTAGTAGCTTGTAGTAGCCTTGTACATAACTAGCTCCAGCTTTAAAGCACCGGCATCAAGCTCATCAAGCTTCCGCACTGCATCTACTGGGTGGGTTACACGACTTTAGTCTGGCAAGGATATTTAGCCTCGCAAGGGTACTCCCCTGTTCATTGGAAAAATTCCTATTCGGGACGAGCTGAGAGCGGCATTGGGCGGCCGGGGAAAATAAATAATGGGGTAAAGAATTGATAATACAGTTGATGTATTGGAACATTGGAAGTACTATGTAGGTACTTACATAGTAAATATACCTGCATCGTTTAATTACTTGGAAGCAGCTACACATGCACCTATATATATGTCCTGCAACATGTTGTTACCTGTCACAATCACCACGTACTTAGTACACCTAGTACACCTAGTACACCTAGTACACCTAGTACGGATAATATAATAGGCAAGAGAATGTCGATCAGTTGGAAGCAAGAGAATGAGAATGATAGAAGATGGGAAGTTTAGTTTAATTCTCTCTTTGATCATACCGACACTGTAGCACATTATACACACATTCTCGCCCACCTAAACACAAACACAAACATACACAAATCTACCCCCCATTCCTAAGAACTACCTACCCTGAACCATAATCAGATTTTTTTTTCTTGTTTCTTCCTTTGAGCCTCGGGCGCCTCATCAGCCGGTACAACTCTTGTTGCCTGCCCAGTATTACACAGGATCTACAGACAAAGCAAAATGCACGCCTTCAGCTATTTTGCCCTCTCCATCATCGGCGTGGCCTATAGCCTGCCAACACTGCTCGCCGAGAGCAAGAGGGGGCTCATCAAAGTCAGCCCGGATCTCGATCTCGGTTTAGATGTCAACAACGACAACTCTTGTCTCGGGTTAGGCATCTCTGTGTGCGATCCCATCACGGTTGACTCCAACAAGACCTCGACGGTAACGAAAGGAAGCAGCAGCAGCAGTAGCAGTAGCAGCATTAGCCCTCCATCCTCTACACCCACAGCCAAGGAGGCTTCATCCTCCGGGGATGACCCACTGATTGACATTAGCCCCGACCTAGGCCTAGATCTCGGCCTCAGCAACGAGAATAGCTGCCTAGGAATCGGCATCAGTGCCTGTGACCCCATCACCGTCGGGTCAGACGTTACCAACACCGTCGACAAAGGCGATAATGACGCTGATACCAGTAGCAACCCTGATTCGCCCTCGAAGGAGAATACCCAGCAGTCTAGCTACCCAACTTCCACCACCTCAACTTCAGCCTCTACATACCCTACCACCACTTCCAAATCCACACCTACTTCTACCCCCACCCAAATCACTAGCGCAGGAAGCAAAAGTACTGGCGGCGGTCTACTTGATCTGAGCCCAGTGCTATCGCCAGACGTCAACCTGAACAACGACAACAGCTGCCAAGGCATCGGCATTTCTGCCTGCGACCCCATCACTGTCGACTCCAACGTCAATAACACCGTCTCTAACTAATGAATTTCCCTTACCCTCGCCAACATACCCACTAAGCTTCTTTCATGGATTTCCAAGACATAAAATGTATTATTTGAAAGATATAGGGAGAAAGGGGCCACAACTTAATGACTAATTGGGCCGTTTCGTTACATTTATTCCTGTATATACTTTTATATAAGTGTGATACCTTCCTACCTATCTATCTATACGTACCTGTATAATCTATAATCCATCAATACAACCTTATGAAGTAGTGCAACCTCATAGTCAACCGTTTAATGAACAACCGTTTTGCCTCTTGTCTCGTACCTATTGAAAGATACCCACGCAATACCCATCGAACCCTTACGTGTGGGGATTCGACATACATACGTACATGCCTAGGTACCTATATAGTTAGATTAGGCCGGTAGCTTCATCTTGTCTCCGAGCATGTAAGTCACAGATAATCAAGAGGGTGTAGGTAGTGTTGTTGTAACGGCGTAATGCAAGGTTCGGCTTACACGGCATCGGTAGCTACTGGTACGTTTTCGTTGTTATCACGAATTACCGGGAATCTAGAATACTAAGCAGGTAGGCAACCTACTCGAGACGATAAGTGGTTAGAGTACATGCAGGTAGTGACTGTACTAACCTAGGTAGATAACTACCTAGTAAACGTGTGGGTAGTTAGGCATTTACATGCCGCAAGGTAGCAACTCAAACGGGAGATAACTCGAGAGATTGAAGGGCACCGTAGCATTCATTCATCGAACGTATAGTTGATTTATGACAGAAAATAGGTACATAAGCGAACGAATCATATCTGAACAGTATAGAAAACCGTTATTTTAAAGTCTCTCTTTGTAAATTACGCCATACTAAGCCCAGTAGCTACAGCCAGTTAAAGCTCGCTAGAATCCGAACCCGAACCGGAACACTGCCCATCCGCAATACGCAATGACAATGAAAAAAGGGTAAACACCATTATTTACATGCAATTTGATGCAGGTCGAAAAGTAATCGCCTGGATAGAGAGAGGTGGATGGGTAGGTAGGGTAGGTCCTACGCAAGCAAAGTCATGAGTTACAACAAGGGAGGTAAAAACAAAGTCAGGTAAAAGTCAATACGCTTTCCCTCCTTTTGTCACTGCCTAGGTAGATATGTTTAAGTACATGAAATATGTAGGTAATAGAATTACGAATTAATAAGGAGGTAGTGGTGGAGGTATGAGAGGAAGGAGTGGTTGATTTAGATAGCGGTGACCTTGACAGTGACACCATCCTTTGGCCGTAGGACCAGTCGCCACATCTTCCAATCCTCAGGGTCGGGGGTGTTGAAGTCACGCTTGAACTCGTACATGCTGAGCAAGCAGCAGAGGAGAACCTTCATCTCTGTTTCGGCAAATTTACGTCCGATACAACCACGCGGGCCTTGGAGGAAGGTCATGAAAGCATTAGGGGTGAATGTCTTGGGTAGGTTGTCCCATCGGTCAGGATCGAACTCATCCGCTGTGGGACCCCAGTACATCGGTAGACGATTGATGGCATTGGCCTGGATGTAGATGACGGAGCCGGCAGGAATCTTGTAGGGCCCAAGACGGTCTTCCGCAATCGACTGGCGGACCGTCATGGGAATAGGCGGTATATAGCGCAGTGATTCGCGACAAAGATTGTCTAGATACGGTAGCTGATCGGCATCAGCAGCGAGGATCTGCTCTCGGTCAAAACGGGTGTCCTTGTCGAAGAGAAAAGGCATGTAGTCCTTGATCTCCTCCCGGAGACGGGACTGAATTTCGGGGTGGGTGGATAATAGATGGATAGTCCAAGCAACACCTGTTGCCGTGGTGTCATGACCAGCACCCAAGAAAGTCATAATTTGGTCGCGCATAGTCTCAAACGAAAGTCCCTGTTCACCCATGGCTTTGAGCTTCTTGTTGTCTCGGGCTATGAGAGCAATGATATCCTTTCCACCAGTATTGCTTTCGGCTTGTTCTTGCTTCTCTGTGATAATCCTTGTCGCCTTGTCGAGAATGATATTTCGGGAAGTTTCCATATCCCGGTTCATCTTGACTGGTATATATTTTGAAGCTGAAATGAAGGCTTGGAGGCCGTGCATAGCACGAGATGCAAAGTCAAATGCGAAGACAAGACGATAAGCTTCACGGATGGGGGTTTCGGGATTTCGGAGCGAGTTGATGTCGTAGCCAAAGCCAGCGCTGCCGATGATATCTAGAGTTGTTCTGTTGAGCCACTCAAGCACCTCAAAGGACTTGGTTGTGACATTTTCAGCAGTCATCTCTTCGCGCCAGCACTTAGCAAGGAGAAGAGATTTATCCCAGAAGACAGGAGTGAGTGCACGAATAGACTGGATGGAGAACCCCGGAGCCAAGGACTTGCGCTGGTGTATATGTTCCTGCCCTTCGGCAAGGAGAACACCTTCACCCAGAATGCGAACCATCCATAGCTTAGCACGGACTGGCTTTGGGTAATTGTATGGGTTCTTGACAGTCATCTGCTTGAGGGCTTCGTCGTCGGCGATAGAAAGGCGTTCTGCGCCAAAGGGGAAAAAGTATCTGATTATAGAGCCATGTTGTTTGTGCCATTGTCGCTGAGGCACGCCACACTCTTGCGTGACAATAGCAAAAAATTGACCCCAGAGAGGGAATCCAGGCACGGTTGGGATGTGTCTTAGTTCCGACACGTAAAATGGGAATATCCAGCTGAGCCAAACGACAACATACAAGGGGAATACAACAGCCAGCGACGCCGCGATAGTAGATACAACTGGCAGTTCAGCGTGACGTGCATATAAGAATGAAGCGGCCGCCGTAGTCGCCAGTACTGGCGCGGTGGTGACCTTGGACATGTTGAAAGAAAGACTACCTAGGTAGGTGTGCAAACGATTGTGGAGGGAAGGTTTGACTCAACAATGTTGGATACCAGTAGCAGAAGGGATATAATATGGGATGGAAAGATGGGATTATTATTCTCTCAGAAACTTTCTGGTGACAAGGGTCGACTAGATCGGCAAGTGTATTTTATACCAGGGAGAGCATGGGAACACGTCGAAACATATGCAGTGATGCCATGTTGCAGGTAGGGTTGTAAGACAGCAGCGTCCAGGGAGGGTCCACCTAATTCCGACGGGACGCCTTAGATTGAGGCACCCCTAGGATCGAAGCAGGCATTATAATTCATGAGCTGTATTGCTGGGTTAGAAAACTACCTCGAGTAGATAGTCTAGAGCAGCGTAGAGCTACATGGGCTCGTTCAGCCCAATATCTCGGCACAGGGGATCTCTGGTGCGTGTGTGACGTCGATCTGATTTATGCAGACATCGACTCAGATAGTGCACGTCGATAAGCTTCAATAGATACATACCTACATGCCTACTACATCAAGTAAATAATAGTCAGTACTCACGAGTCACGAGTCACGACCCGGAAACGTCTGGCAATTCTATCCGTGCTACAGTTAGTTAGAGCGGAGCAAGGACCAAGAGTCTGGGTACGTAGTGTCTAACTTCATTGTCAATAGCACCATCGCGGTTTAGATCCCTAGCCGCTTTGTGGATGCTCATACTTACCTACTAGGCATAGTGGCATCGCCGAGAGACCCGGTATCCTGCTATCCGGCCCTACTGTGTGAGTAGCTCCACTCCCATACCATAGGTACATGGAACTAGGAGCATAATTCTTAAAAATGCATCTTCTACTGACGTAGGGCCTCTTGGGGTAGCAAGATTATGTTCAACGTATTCAACCAAGATTATTCAGCTTTAGCTTGAGCTCTAGGGTGTTTCGGCAAAGGACAGCGGCGAGATTGCGTATCTTGTAAGCTGGGCCGATGGTCTGGACCGAGAAATCCCTTATCGCCGGAGGAGGGTAGCAGTAACCACACAGAGCTGACTGCACCGTACATATTATGAAGATTATGAGTAGATGGGCATCCCATTGGCTTTCTCAAGGGAAACAGGGTAGGGATGCTGGTATTCGCATGCATGCAACCTTCTCAGTGTGATTAAACATACCAACTCGGGTAAGACATAACGATAGCATGTGGAAGGGAGAAGGAAGATACATACCTATTTTGGGCACCTGATAGCCACCTATCTCGGCATGGGCGGTCTTCGCCTGAGACTATGGAAATTTGAAAATCAAGGGGCATGCCATACTCCAAGCTCTGTACGGATCTATGTTTCTCGCAAAAAGAAACAAAAAGCATCTGTGTGTAACGGGGCGTTGTAAGTGGGGTGGCTAATAACCCAATATAGAATGGCCCAGTTCCTCAAGCCAAGAGCTATAAACCCTATCCCAGTGGCCAGTTCATTCTTGAACTAGGAGGAGCTATTAGTTAAGTTAGACTTCTTCCCGCTGCCCAAGCTGATGTCCCATTAACCTGTTAGTCCATGCGGTATGACATCGGCCACCTGAGCTCACCCCTTCTCAGCAAGAGTTTATATTAAGTATCGCCTTTTCTCCAGGCTCGCACTTAGCAGAGCGCATAAAATCTTCAGTACTGCGTAGCATCAGCTTAGCTATTCTGTTGGCTTGGCCTTATTTTCTCTTTCCTCGCATCCTCCGATTCCATATTGTCCGTTGTTACCGACCTACCTAGCTATGTCGTTCAATACGGCTCACTCGTTCAAAGCCTCGCCGAGCGTGATCAAGATCGCGCCATGGCAAGTATTCGATAAGGCTTGGACATCTGTAATGGGATATCATGCAAACGAATTCAGGTTCAAGGAAGGCATCACGCCCATGTCAACGCCGACTGAGACAGTTGGCATGATCGTTCTCTACCTCGTGGTTATATTCGGTGGCCGTGAGTTCATGCGCAACCGTGAGCCATTGAAGTTGAATGGCCTATTTAAAGCTCATAATCTCTTCTTGACATTGCTCAGTGGTGGTCTCCTTGCTCTGTTTGTCGGGCAACTGGCTCCGGCTATCTGGAAACGTGGTCTATACAATAACATCTGCGCCGCAGATGGTTGGACCAATGAGCTGGTTACTCTCTACTACGTGAGTATCTCCTAATCGGGGGAACAATGGACGGCGGCAATGCGGAGGCTAATGTAAGCAGCTTAACTACATCACCAAGTATATCGAATTGATCGACACTGTCTTCTTGATGGTCAAAAAGAAGCCTCTGACTTTTCTTCACACGTACCATCACCCGGCAACCGCATTGCTATGTTATACTCAGTTGGTAGGACACACCTCCGTTTCGTGGGTCCCGATCACGCTGAACTTGACTGTTCATGTCGTCATGTACTGGTACTACTTTCAAAGCGCCAGAGGTGTTAGAGTGTGGTGGAAGGAGTGGATCACCAGGATGCAAATTGCTCAATTCGTCCTCGACCTTGGTAAGACCCTAAAAGCATGTCGATTCGTAGGCAGCAGTATCGGAGACACTAACAAATTTGATAGGTTTCGTGTATTTTGCATCTTGGGACTATTTTGCCAGCGCGCACGCTCCGTATCTACCGCACATGGGGCGATGTGCGGGAAAGCCCTTCGCGGCCGTGTGTGGATGCTTGATATTGAGCTCATACCTCGTTCTCTTCATTTTGTTCTACATCTCCACCTACAGAAAAGCTTCTTCGCGAAAGGCCAATAAGAGAGGGGACAAAGCATCGGTATCCTCGATGAAGCAAAGTGCTGCTAAGGTAGCCGACAGCTGCAGCGGGGTGGAACACATGAACAGCTCGCTAGTCTCTAGAAAGTGATCAGCTGTCAGGGTTCAGAGTTGCTTATTCAAGGCTCCAGCTATCTCTCAGATCATCGCATGGGTTGTGGATACTTTATCATCATTAGTAGAAGCCTACTAGAAGGGGGGGTTAAGGGCGGGAGGGGTTTATGGAAGGGCGTTGGCGTTTGTTGTGCGTCATTTACACTTACGGGAAATAATGCCTAGTCTAATGAGGTTATCTCAAAGGTTGCCTCTCACATCTGTCAGCAAAGAACTCGTTCATAGTCATGAAAATGCAAATCAATGAAATGACGAATTGTGCTATGTGTAGTAATATTTTTTTTTAATTTTTTTGGCATGAAGTTGAAAAAAAGACGTGACGTGACGGCCAAGAGAATTAGCAAGGGGGTTACATCCCCCCTGACCTTGATCCTTGACCCCCCTGGTAGCCGGCAGTAGCTCAATCCGCTTTATCTAGCGAGCTAGTTCCCTACCATTTAGTGGGTACCATGTTATGTACAGGATACTATGAAGTTACTTAGTTACAGATACTAGTGTACCCAGTACTAGTACCCATCCATGAATATCACCAACTACTAAGTTAGGTACATGTAGCGTAGTTCGCTTTGTTTTCTTTTATTCCACTGAAGCTGTTGGATATCAAACCAATCACCACTATATGTAATATGTATGTAAGCTACCGCGCAAAGAATCAAGGAACGAGTGCATTTTAGTACAGGGGTTCTCAGCCTCTCTTGCCCCCCTACTTCACGTTCGTCCAGTCCCTCAAGCGAAGTGAAGTCACTTATCCTTATGACAAGGAGACAGACGAGCTAGGTACCCAATACCCATGTAGTCTGGTAATAGGTAGTGTGTAGGGCTACTATCTACATACCTGATATGATGTAGCTTCTCCATTTTCCTGTCCAACCTAAGGACCTGGATAGGTTACATACCGTGCCGTAGGTGGGATGCCATCCCACACTCCTTTCGTGTGATCAAAGTCGATCGATCATACCCTACATAAACCATAGGAAATGAAATATTGGTTTAAGCTAGATCTGCTAGGCATGGCTAAGCATGATACGGCAATCGACTTTCCGGAGGTAGTCAAAGCTTATTTTAATCCCACCCAAATCTCTTTGATGCCTACTACATGTAGGTATCTAGGTTAGATACCTACATATATGTACCCAATCATAATATGACATTCAATGTTATTGTGTACATAGTAGGTACCAAATTAGACTAGCAAAATGCATAGGTACCCAGCACTCACATGCATACCTAGTAGTATGTATGTATGTATCTTATACGTACCTGTAGACATGTAAATACAGTAGAATTATACACATGTACATCCAACAATTCTTGTTCGATAAATATGTAGGTATTATGTAGTCATGTATGGTCTTTTGGGGGGGCAGGCTTGAAGATAATCAACGGAACTTTTAGTTAATTAACACTCTGCATGTGACGGCGTGTCACGGCGATTGTAACCGTCCGTCATGCCTGCATCATGCGCTATAGATGACCCCTATAGCATGTTGTGAACGTTGCCTCCAAGGAAATAGGGGTAGGTAGCTATGGTATACGATCCAAGAATACACTAACATAAGGGGCCAAAGCTCAATGATCTTGAAGAGTTTTGATTTCGGTGAGGGAATCTATAAACAAGGGAAAAGTGAAAATACGAAAGATAAAAAAGGAACTGAGACATTGGTTGCCCAGATCTTCTGGGACATGAAATACTTCGGAAACACCTAGCTCGATTATTTAGCCTCATAAGGATTCCACATGATTCACTCACTAATTCGTTTTTCCGTCCTATCGGTCTCGGTCATGTCAATCTTTGCCCGATCCAACCTGGCATCTCTCACTTGTAGTACCAGATAGGTGACCCAGTGCTCAATAGCAAGTAAATAGCCCAGGCAGCTTCACTGCCTTACGTGCAATAACAGGTCCCGCCAGCGCAGACAGCAGCAGATAGTTGCTAGGCAAGTGGACACTTGAGGGCGCCTTATCTTATTCCTAGTAGCTGGCACACTTCATGGGCTAGAATTGTCGTGTCCGTCCATGATATCACACACACCCCTGGGACGTGGGATTGTCGGTTTCTTTGTTTCCCGGCAGGATTATTTAGCTTATATTTACTGAAATGTTACGGTATATCGGTGTTTCCCACACTCCATCGAGATGATACTAGCAAGATCGATGCTGCTATTTCATATGAATCCCTCATAACAGTCAGAGAAGACTTGAACTTTACACTCCACGAACTTGGTCCGAATTAACCTTCAAGAATTTCCCTTATTCAAGGCTTAACAAGATGTCGACCACATACATATTGGGTTCCATCAACCAAAGTCGTGGACCAATCTACGACTTCATCCCTGAAGGGCCCATCGCTGGGGGTCAGTCAACGATGTCGTCCTTCGAAGATCTCATATATCCTCATCTGACATGGTCGGCGTTGTGGTTTACGTTATTATGCATCTTCATCGCACTTAACATCAAGAATATGCCATTCATGTGGCACGTAAGTACCCCCGATATCACCACATGTTTTCCATCGGCCTAACGCACCCTGAAGTTGCGACTTGTGAACGCCTTCCGATTTATCCTACGAACACAACGGCCAAAAGTGCCACTCACATCTACGCACATATTTCAGCCCATCATCACATCATCGACAGCGCAGCTCATGGAGATCGATTTCAACATGCATAAATCCAACTCATCATACTTTTCGGACGTCGACATAGCACGTACTCATCTTGTCTGCACGTTATTCGCCAATGGGATCGAGAAAATGCGTGGTGGCACATCGGCTTACACTGGATCAAAGAAGCCCGTCTTCGGCCTCGCCCTCGGTGGTGTCTCATGTAATTTCAAGCGCGAGTTGCGACCTTACGAAGAGTACGATATGTGGTCTAAGATATTATCCTGGGATGAGAAATGGATCTACATCGTTACACACTTTGTTCGGAAAGACGCTGCCGACCCCAAAAGCTATTCCCTATATCCGGAGCAATCCCTGGACCAGACTCTACGAAACAGCGTTAACGAGTCCGGCCGTGACCCGTCTCGACGCTCCAGTGTGGACAACAACTCCGCAAGCAACAGTGATGGGGACGCTAATAGGTCAGAGAAACATATCTTTGCTACAGCATTGAGCAAATGCGTGTTCAAGTCTGGACGTAAAACTGTTTCACCGGAACTGATGCTGGAAATGTCCGGCTTGTTACCGGTGTCTAATCCCGAGAAAAACGAGTTTGATGAGGTAATTAGACAGGGCATTGAGATACAGAGAAAAAAGGGGCTAGAGACGGCGCAACTCCTCGCGGGACAGACACAACACAACCTCGAAGCCGAATTTGCCGGCGTGGAATCGGAGGTGCTAGGCAGACACACTGACGGCGCCGGCATCGTTGGTGTGGTGAATACCCTCATGCAGCTAGCTCGGCTAAAGAAAACCCAGGTATTATGATCACCGACATCATATCCAACTTAATTACGGTGGCGTTCATAATACCTCTTGCATCACGAACTAATACCGCAGCGATTCATTTTCATCTTCCATAATACATTAGATCTAGCATGTCTACCTAGTTACCGTGGACATATGGCTACTAGGTAGAGTGTCATCATTTAATATCTCACATGTACATATTTGGTATAGATTACAAAACATCACATCTACATGTAGGAATATTTGCCTCAGCCTTGATTACAGAGTGACAGTACATAGTGGAAGTATGCAAGTATGTAATAACGTCATATTAATTTCGATACGAGAAGACTCTCAGCTCCAATTTGTGTAGCGATCAATGGTATGGGCGTGGAGTAATAAAGCCAAACGACAATGCATTGTTCTAACAAATGTATATCATCATTTAATTTTAAGCACATGAAATGAAAGCACGCAAAGGGTCTTTATTCAATGTCGTTTATCCCCGACGTCGTGTACTTAGAGCCTTCATACATAACTCAACTACAATTCATTCTATCAATATTAACTTAGATACCTGCTTTGGTAATCTAGGGTTAAGTAGAGGTAGGTATTTATATAGACGAAAGAGTATACCAAGAACATATGTTTCACTTACAAAGATTATAGACTCCGGTACCCGAAATCTCATTTTACAATAAATAACTACCTTGACAGGTATCTAGGTAGGTACATGTGCACAGCTTACTATTCGATGTCCCAGGGTTCTAAGGTTGTCAGCGAAAAGATCTGGAGCCTATTGCTATCCTGTTCACAACGCCTTGAAGGATTAGAGGATTTCGCTACCAAGATCCAGGATTCAGCTCGATATGAGTTGTAGATACATTTCAGTAGCATCACGAATTTAGGAGTAAAAACAAGCTTATTAGTGGCGGTGGCATAGAGCAAGTACAATACAGTCATACGAGATTACGCCTTTTTGTCATGTACGTACTGGCTCAGGGACATCAACAAATATCCCGCGAACGATGTAGCCCGCTCGTACCAAGTACAATGGTTCGTCTCTGGGCAAGCCACGTGGGTTACGACACATCATACATGTAATTCCTTCTTCGGGTAAGGGCTGCGGCTCCGTCCTCTCCGGGCAGCTTTTATTTTTCAACGCTAGGGGAATTCTTGCATCATGCATACTACTAGTAGTAGTAGCTTCGATACTGGGCGCTGTGTATGTCTTATCCACCCACTTAAGTACATGCCTAGGTAGGAGGTACTAACTAGTAAACACTGAAAGCTAGGTATGTAGCTAAACCAGTAGGTGCCTATGGATGTAGAACACGTAGGTAGCACCCAGGTTAACACACTCCTAGTAACGCAGGTTGCAGTGTAGCGCCGTTTCCTGACTTACCTACTAAGTATCGGATACTTATCCAGCCGTACAACGGGGTACTAAAACGGGATAGGGAAAGAAAGAAAATACCAAGACCTCCTAAAGGGGTAGTACCCTGTGTGTTCAGTCGAATGAAAAATCCGCCAATCCCGGGCATAGATGACTGCTCTACATTGGTGGCTTCGGTCCACCTCCACCAATATCCCCATTCCCAAGACGGCGGGTTGCAGATCTCTTCCCCTTTTTACGATTTCCCTGAGATCTTAGTTTTGATAGCGCCATACATGGATCTTTTTACGTCTGTTGTTGCTTCCACCGTGGGGAGGCTCATCACTCTAAGGCATCTCAGCTCGTATCCACCGCAACAGTATAGTGGGATTCATTGACACCAATACACGCCGCTATTGAATATAGCCGACTCTCTCTCCTCTATCTCTTGTCTACTTGCTATTGGATGGTAGGAACCTCAGCTCTCACTCTAATGTTATAGTGATCGCCGACCGTCATGTATCCTCCCAGCGCCTCTTCTTAGTTTTGGCCTACCTATGGGCCACACCTCACAGCCGGAACCAGCTTATCCCATGTCGGCAGGCAGTTTTGTCCGTCCAATGTCCTTTTTACCACCGGGATAGCAATTTACCAGATCGAGATTCTAGCTCCACCCACCGAAAAGGAAGAAAAAAAGAAAAACAAAACAGGGCACTGTCTATACTCGGGGGGCAATTTGCTTGTGCAGCTGCAAAACTAGAGTCTGGGCATTGACCAGTATTAACAGGACTCGCGTCTGGGGGGGCCTAGGCAGAAATAGATGCGGATCAACTGGGCGCACCTGTGACGTCGCCACCTAACGGCGATAAGCCAACGCGAATGGCTCAACTAGGAGTGATGCTACGGTTTCTAATGTCCCCCTACCGCAACTACTACCTTCGATCTGAATTTGGACGTGTGGCTGCCCTGGTCGTTCAACCTGTCGAACCCCACAAGAAGAACAAAGGCAACATGGAGGAAGACAGCGGCCATCGCGCCTCACTTGACCACGATAGCGACGACATTGCTTCGTTGTACATGTCAATGCCTTCTTCTAGCACCGGCGAGATCAGTTCCTCCTCTATCGCAGAGTGGGATGCTACGCAGTCGAACGTCCCGGCTTCTCACCCCGTGTCACCTTTCTGGCTCGCGGATGAGCTTATCGAGAGCGTGTCTGTCTTCAAAGCTGCCCACTCCAGGGACTTTTCCACCGCGTCTAGCAAGACCCTAACAAATGGAGGCAGCGACACGGATAGCTTAGCTCAGCTTAACCGCGCGAGCTCTCCCGACAATACTCAGCGGTATTCGATTCTAGCAGATCTTCTGATTGAATCTGCACCCCATCTACGGCACTTAGCGACTATCCGGACAGACGATTCGAGGTTGCACATCACCTCTGGAACGCCCAAGAACCAGCTAGTCACACCTGTCGAAGAGCAACGGCATCCGGGAAAACCAGCCGTAAAAACCCAAGAGCCGGAGACGCAAGAAGGTGATGAGCAAAGCCAGCAATTGCCGGCCACGGAAGGCGAGAGCGCCACCGCAAATCAATTTTTACATGGAATTCCATTATTACTACTCACCATCGGTCTCTCATTAGTCGTTTTCCTAATATCCATAGATAGAACAATTATCACTACAGTGAGTACCTCTCTCCTTCCCACCTACAAGAAAAGGAGGTATATTTCCGAATCGTGCTCCAGGAACTAATCATACAAAATACAGGCCATTCCTTTCATTACCTCCGAATTTCAGTCTACGGCAGACATCGGCTGGTATGGCTCCGCCTACCTCCTTACAGCATGTGCATTTCAGCCCGTCTTCGGGCGAGTATTTACTTCCTTTAACGTCAAATGGTCATATCTCCTTTCCATGTTTGTCTTTGAAATTGGGTCTATAATTAGCGGGTTTGCGCCATCTTCCGTGGCCCTTATCGTCGGACGGGCTATCGCCGGGTTTGGCAGCGCCGGCATCCTGACGGGCAGCTTTGTTATAGTAGCAACGGCTGTCCCGTTAGCCGTTAGGCCAATCTATACTGCCGTTGTTGGTCTAATGTAAGTTTTCAGATCTCTCGATGCTCATTTGAAGTGATTATATGGCTAATCAGGCGACCAGGTTTGGTGTGGGTGCTACTGTTGGTCCTCTTATTGGAGGTGTATTCACGGATTTAGTGGTATGTATAACCTCTGCATGACGCAGAATGGCCATGCTAATCTGCAATAGACATGGCGATGGTGCTTCTGGATCAACTTACCGGTTGGTGCCGTGACGATCCTCGTGATGATACTTGTATACCATCCGCAACCACGCGCCGAGACGAAACGAGGAGTTTTTAATCGCCTAATCGATCTTGACCTTGTCGGCAATATTATTTTGTTGGGCGCTGCCGTCATGTTGTTCTTAGCTCTCGAAGCTACTCTCACCGGCGCCGCCTGGGCAAGCCCCGAAGTCATCGGTCTCCTCTGTGGATCCGGCGTCGCCGCAATCGTGTTAATAGGGTGGCTGAAATACAAGAAGGACGGCGCCTTAATCCCCCCCTCCATCGCCAAGCAGCGTACGGTTGCCGCGTCTTGTCTGATGGCATTTTTTACCTACGGAGCTCTGCTCATACACACATATTTCCTTCCTATATGGTTCCAAGCCATTCTCGGCTACAGCGCCATCGAATCCGGTGTAGCTATGATACCATACTTCGTAGCCAACGCACTCTTCTCTGTCTTTTCCGGTGTATTCGTCTCCGTTGTGGGCTATTTCACGCCCCCTGCTATCCTAGGAAGCGCCATCGGCACCATAGGCTGCGGCATCATCACCTTGTTCCACCCCCAGATGAGCACGGGAATGTGGATCGGCTTCGAGATTCTCGCTTCCGCTGGCTTCGGCATGTCCATTCAGCAAGGCTTCACAGCGGTACAGACTGTTCTCGGACCCGAGGATCTTGCTGTTGGCACTGCCGCTGTCGTAGCTGCGCAGTCTCTTGGAGGTGCTGTCTTCATCTCTGTCGGTAACAGCGTATTTCAAAATCGCCTCGCGTCCCTCATCGAGGATACTAACATCCCGGGCCTTGACGTTCGTGCCATCGTTGGAGCCGGCGCTGTCGCCTTCCGAAAGGTTGTTCCAGCCGACGATCTTCCCACGCTCCTTGCGCTCTACGATGCCGCGCTACACACCGTCCTGGTCGTCGCAGTGCCGCTTGGCGGGCTCGCCTTCCTGTCATGCTGCTTCCTCCAGTGGAAGTCCGTCAAGAAGCCTGCTCAGCCACATTCTGGGGATGTGGAGAAGGCGTAAGTAAATAAATGCATTTACGATACGTTTCTATTCTGGTAGATAGCTGGGTGGATAGGATTGTATCTGTAGCATTGGGTAGGTAGGTACCTACACATAATACATGTGCGATGCCCTTAAACGTAATGTCTAATTTCTTTAATCTTCTTTCTTCCCTGGTGGAAGCTTTACTTCGTGTATTGGGTTGGGAAAAGAGTTGTTGGGTGTTGGTGTGGTGGTCAGTCCCCATATTGGGTTCGGTTGATTTATATCTACGCTACATAGCGGTCACTGCATCAGAGCGTGCTATTTTTACTTTGTTCTTTTGCTTCTATAGAGATATTCGATACCTCCGACGAAAGATTGGTTTTATGTCATAGGGAATAGAGGAAGGGTATGAATGAAAGAGTATCAATGGTGGTCAGTGTATCTGTGTCCATCAAATCTGAAATATACATGATTCACATCCAAAGTGTCTTTATCTCAACTACCTAGGTGGATACTTGTGTTCACGTTTCAAGTCCGACCACTTCACAACAATGATTATAAGGGACAAGAACATCGTATCATAAGACCCTAGGTCTAGTGCCTAGATTCCTTCTGTGTCGTAGTAACATCTGAGTTTAGGACAGGCATGCATTTTTGTGCTTAGGTATATACCTATGAATCCCAAAACAACGCCAAACTCGTGTATACGACCTGGGAGTGCTCTTAACTTTTCACTTAAAACACTTGAATAGCGAAAAGCTTTATGGGAAAAGTGGCCTGGCATATTCTAGCTACCTGGGTAGATACGTGCCCAAGGTGTCGAGATATGAGCTTCGGAAGATACTACGATCAGCCCCTGAAACTCATAACGCATTACTACCTACACATACAATACTGGGTATAGTTACTAGGTCAGGATGGACCTAAATATTAGATAGCCCTAGTCTTTGAACTCGGGAGTAAGCTTTCCATCTACTCTTCAACTCTACGTGAAAATACCTATCTTAGTTTGAGATACAGATTCTCTTTGACCTCAGTACCGATTCTTTACTCTGTGATTCTTATGGCTACGTACCTATTCCACTACTTATTAATAAACTACTTCAAAAGCATGTCTGCTAGCGTAAGGGGTTTTATTATTATTATTAACTCATTTACACATTACTCGTATCTTAGTACGAAGCCATCATGGCCTACCTAGTACCAAATCATGACCCCATAAGCTCTCCACCTCTATACTATCCCTTCCGTCTAATATTATACCAATCCTAACTAGATACTCAACGCCAAGAAGAATGAGAAGAGGAAAAGGAGAGAAGCCCTTAAAGTCTCCTAGCACTCTTCCCCAACGTAATGTCAAACTGATCCGGGAACAAAATCCCATTAGCCAGCCTAAGCAATTCCCTCTCCGCCTCCAATGCCCCCCTATCATCATCCCACGGCAACAACCCCATAGACCGTAGCCCCTCCTCCCCTCCCGCATCGCTAACATCCTGCGTCCCCGGTCTGCCCATGAACTCGCTCTCGCCCCTGCCGCTTTCGAAGTCCGGCGCCGGGAGTCCCAGTAAGAAGGACCTGCGCTGTCGCGCGAGGTGCAGCGCGTTAGTCAGAGACAGGGGGCAGGCGGGGATATACAAGACGCTGGCATCGGTGCGGCCCGTATGTGCAGCGTCTGCGGCGTGAACCATATCAGGGTGCCAGAGGACGTAGTCGCCGGGCTCGACCCTCGGGATGGGAATCATGGATCTACTGAGGCGGAGATGCGGGTGCAGGGCGTCGGAGAGTTCCTGGATGCAACCGGGGACAGCACCGTGGACTATGGTGTTTTGGGCGACGTTCAGAGACCAGTTACTTTCATGAAGGAAGTCGGAATGGCTTCCATGCTTGCGGCGTGGGGAGAAGAAGGGCCGCAGGAGGAGGTACGCGGTAGCGAGCCGAAGCATGGGACACGCACGTAGCGACCCGGTGTCAGGGGCGATAGGCGAGAGCGCGACCCAGCCCTGGAACATACGGAACATACTGCTGGACCCCGCGCGATTGTACAGGTCCCAGGTGACGCTAAGTCGTGCGCTGCTGTCCCAGGGGTCGTATTCTTCCCATTTCCCCTCGAAGATCTTGGCGTAGGTCCCGGCGCGCCCGTATCCGTCGGGTTCCCAACGCTCGACGCTGCCGCCGTCGACGTGCGGGCCAGAGGCAAGGGACTTGTCGCCTGGCTTGCGCATACGGATGCGGTCTGCGTAGGCAACAGAGTGGTTGCTGCTTACGAGGGCATCCCCTTTGCTTGAGTGCCACGCACTCATGGCGAATCGCTGGACCTCAAGGACCCGTGAGTCAGCGCGGGCTCTGACTTGCCCGGGACTCCAGAACATCTCATATAGCTGAGGATCATGTGCCGGGATTCCTTTTGGGCGAGGGTTATGCCGAAGGTATTCTCGCGTTTCTTCCTTCCATGACAAGGCAACATTTGGGGGCACGACCCTCCTTATGACGGCAATGCCTCTTTTCTTTAGGGCATCCTGGAAGGCGGCTACTTTGACTGAATCGTTTATGTCAAAATAGTCGATCGTGGGTATTATGACAGATCCAACAGCAGCGATACGATCTACCTCTTTCCTCAACTGGTATAGGAGACGATAGAAGGAATCAGCAACAGCCTTCTCATTACCAGCAATGAGATTCCGTTTGATTTTGGCGAACCGATCTGGTAGAGGAATAGGATCTGAATCTGACAGAGACAAGAAATCGACCGCCATTGTTGTCTACTTCATTCGCGAATAAATGGCCCTGAGCTAAATTTCATATACAACTGTAGATAGCAGGGCACATTGGACTAGATGGAAGTCTCTTGTGGCAATTCGAATGCACAAACTTTCAGATATTCATGGCATATAATATAGATCAGATCTAGCATAATGGCCATCTTCGAAACGAGTATAAGACGGGCAGTAACAAAAGCCCTCCCACGTAGGGCATTAAGGGTCCGTGGGGGTTACAAGCACTTGCCCTTTTAGGACAGGCGTCGACTGAAGAGAAGCTGTCTATAGTTTGTGTCCTGTAGGCACTAGGTATTCTGCGGTCTGTAGTGTAGTCTAAGCTGTCAAGGTACACTATAGTGGCAGGCATTAGTGAAGTGGACGCTTTGTGCATCAGGTCTAGACGAAACCAAGGCGACTCAATCAGACGTTGTCACATTGTGTTGACGATTCACTGCGTCTGATCCAAGTACCCCCATCTTCGGCAATGGACTCCGAAATAAAGATCTCTTGGCTTGGTACCCAGGCCCTGGTGATAATTTATTAGACCCAACACAAGTCTGGGTCGATTCGCCATTGGCTAGTCTAATGCGGCTCCTGGATGACGCTCCCGCGGCCCGTTGGACCGGTCCCACGTCGATAGCTTGAGGCTAGAAACGATAAAAGGACGCGGACAATCCCGGGTAGGGCGAGCATTTTGTACGAATACAATCCCAGCTTCACCGATGTTGTATTATCTATCAGATTACGCGGACCCTCAGGTAAATCCTATGAATTAGATGGACTTTCCGCTCCCCCCAAATTACATCCGAGTGGTTGGCATCGGGATGTTTGAGATTTCTTGTTGGAACGAGAGGATGGCTTGGCAATGTCTTATGTGCTCAAGAAGCTTTGCCGCGCTTTGAACGACGTAAAGGTGCTTGCTGGCTCGTATTATCATGTATGACTTCGGTCGCGTCAGCACCTTTTCTCTTTACTGGCTTCTGGTTAATTGGTGATTTGTTTTTCTCCTCCTTAGTTTCCTCCTTAGTTGATGCATCTTCAGATGGCTCGTCTTTCATCAACACATAAGCTACTTTCTCAATATGAGTAGCATCGACCCCAAGTCGCCCGACTAGAGCCTGTGCCGCAGTGCTCAGCTCAGCATATTCCTTGGCGTTGTACTTGATGGGAGACTTCTGTCCGTCACGGCACAACCAATAAAAGGCTTCATCTGAGAAAAATATAACACGGTTCGGATCGTGTACAGAAAGCAAAAGGCTTGCCGTGGCAGGGCCAATTCCCTTCAGCTTGGTTATCATGTCCAACGCCTTGGAAGTGTTATGATCAGCCCAATATACCTTCATAGCTTCCTGAATAGTTTGTTCAGCAGAGGCTTCCTCATTTGATGTGACGAGCTTCATGAGCGTCGGGCGAAATTTCCCATGGCGTCTAAAAGAGGTTAGAGGTGCCATGTGAGTTATCAATTATCAATTAGACATCTATGGATAACACATGAAGTTATCATACAGCCTGCACTTACAGCTTCCAATCGACTAGAACCTTCACGTCACCGAGCTTCATTTGTTGCTTCGGCTCCTCTGAGTGGAATAAGGAGACGGCGTCATTGTAGCGGAAATGATCTAACTCAAGTAAAGTCTTCTGGCCTGGTTTAGCTATTGACAGTGATTAGTTGTATGAATATGGCTTGAGTGCTAATTTCTAGTACATACTCCCTTTGGCCGTCGATATTTTCTCGATTAAGGGGCCATAACGGCTTAGCAGGTGAGTAAACTTATCGAGAGAAATGGCATTTGGTAATAGAGTCCGATCTAGCATGTTGATTCAACCAATGACAATGATATCTCCAAACATCCCATTCGCCTGATGTCAGCTTTAAATGCCTATACCCAAAAAGGGATCCAATCACTCAATTGCTTGTGTCTGTGAAAGTGTCAATTGTTAACTAATGATAATGTTCATTGTTGGCATTAGGTAGAATTTAGAAGTTCCAAGTTGCACAGAGCATGCATGGATAAGTACTACTAGTAGTAACTTAGCCCGATAGTTAGTTAATGGAAAATCCACAAAACAAATGTTCTAGAAGCCGAACGGCCCCCAAACTTAGAAACTCTTAGCGCCGAAAGAACCCCTGCGTCAACTTGAAAATCCATTTTCTTCCAAACCTTACCGATCTGAAAAATAACTAAACCCCCAATTTATTTTCGTATCCTTCTTACTTAATTTTACTTTCTTTCGCAAAACCTCTCAACCGACAGTCATCCCAACGATATCATCATAATTATCAACAGGTCACCAGAAACTAAACCTCATCCCTAACCATTTCACTCGGTTCTTTTCGGCAATTTTTTCCATTTAGCAAAAATGGGTAACGTAAGTCTTCATCCATCTACTTTTCGACCAGTCTTGAAAGCAACAACGAGTGAAAGGGCGGGATGTCATAGATCAGAAAGGATGACAGAACTAACCCTCGAAACAACAGGGAGCCAAGGCCCAGCAGAAGCGCGAGCGCAACGCGAAGGATACCAAAGTTGCCAAGTCGCAGCTGAAGTCGGTAAGTCCCTCTCTTACCCTTCCAGGAAACAAAGAATCTCGCTTACACGCAAAACCTCGTCTCGTAGAATGTCAAGGCTATGGACATCCAATGCCAGATCTGCAAGTCCACTTTCCTGAAGACGACTCGCGCCCCTCAGTACGTACCATGCCTGCCTGCCTACATATGATCTTCCTCTTGGAATAGATATGAAGAATAAACAAAAACATCGAGATCGCCTAACCATAAATCACTGTCACTAGGCTTACCGAGCACGCTGCCAACAAGCATAGCAAGACCATCGCCGACTGCTTCCCAACTTACGAAGCTAAATAGTCGCCCGTATACCAACCACATACAGACGAACCGACCCAGCAAGCAAGCCAGCAAGCAGGAGTATGGGCATAGCGATTGGCGTACTTTTAGGGGGCTTTCTGTCAGGGCTGCATGACAGGGCACGCCGCGAATGGGAAAACTGATTAATGAAATTACGCGAGAGTTGGTAACTTGAGATATTCCAATAGGTATTGCGCGAAACCGCGTTGCATTTATTGTATGTGTGTGCGTTTGTGTGCTGCTCGTCAATGTGCCTCTACCGCTTGCGCCTGCGTGTTACCACCACTATTCTTAATACCACCAGGAGAAGCCGAAGCGCTGGCATTAGGCTGCTTATCTACTGCTTCCTTGGCCTGCAGCGCTCGTATATCCCTTAGGATATCGGGGTACCATCTCTCCCCGACATCCGGGTGGCTCTTCACCCTATTCCTAAGCGTCGCCTCGCCCAATGTCTTTGCGACGCCCCCCTTGCGAAACGTAAACTCGACGTCGTCGAGCCTCGCACCCCCATTCGCTTGCAACACCTGCTCCCGCTGGCGTCTTACACCCTCCGGCACCTTCCCCACACCCACGTCCTCCAGCTCCTCGAATGTCGTCGACGCTCTAACGCCCTGGAAGAACGGGATCGAGAACCGAGCTCCCTGGCCCGCGGCGGGCGACAACACGCGATGTGTAGTAGACGCACAAACTCCCTGCGTCAGCGCCTCGAGCCCCTGGCCAATCGCCACCACCAGGGTACCGCCAAGCGGGGGGCAGTCGATCCAGCGGCCTTGCATATTCTGGACTTGCAAGCCCCTATGCTGGCTCGCCTGGAGGAGGTAGCTCGTGAGCATGCTGTCTTTGTGCGGGCCAACACCCTGGCCCTCGACACCGGCCTCAGCGAGCCCCAGCTCGGCGAGGTCGGGGTACTTGACGATCTTTAGCTTGTGCTGCTGGTCGGCGTCGAAGTAGCGCGCGAAGGCGTCAGGCGGAAGCTCGATGGCCTCGGCGATGAGCCGCGTGAAGGCGATGGACATATCGCCCATCCGGCGCATGTAGTCCGCGTACACACGCCGGAACTCGGGCAGCACGGCTGGTGACGGCCACTGGTTAGGTGCGAGCAGGTTCTCGTAGCGCGGCGCGTTAGGCGCGGGCACGGGGTGTTCAGTCGATAGGTCAATCTGCTCGCGGTGGTCGACCTTGCCGGCAGTGATCTCGGCTGACAATTGCGAGTACCCTAGAAATGAGGGCGCGTTCTTCATTTCAATCTTTAGCCTTTTGTTTTTCAATAATTTGCGTAAGCTTATAGAACCCGGTAGTGTCTTCGATACGATTAAATAAATAAAAGGAAACAAAAGTTTGTATACATCCTTGCGCTAACTAGATATTGGTGATCGATGTATGATATATTCCACGCTGCTCTTTCATATTTTATGAACCTCTAGTCGGGGACTTACTTTTCCTCCTTCGGTATGTCAAAAAACGCCTTACCCTCCGCTATAACTTTCTGCCACAGCTCCTCGGGTATACCGACATTCTTAAGGTACAGGAACCCGACTTCCATCAGGGCATGTCGTAAATCTGCCAGAAACTGCGGTTTCGTCTGCGGGTCTTTGGCCAGAGCTAAATCTAACACTGGGATGGACGTAAACGACATGGTTACTATTTATTGGTAGCGTGACGTTTTATGAAACCAAAAGCGAAGGAAGCATTATCTTTAGGTAGTAGGCTTCGAGAGTCAATGTTCAGATTAAGTGGTAGGTACCTAGGTATGTAGAAATCTCATGATGGAGGTCCACTAACCTTAGTAGATATGGCGTAATTCCGCTCATCGGCATTGGCCGTCCAATAGAGACATAAGAGTTACTCCAATTTCAATGTTCGCTGTGTAAGGTACTATGTATTATGTATACTACCTAGAGTAGGCTTTAAACTTTACTAGACGCCTCAATTCCATGGAACAAAGGACTTTCTAACCTATATACCCTATCCAAGGTATTATATAGGGGGGAGGGGGTTTGAATTTAAAAGGGCTGTTTAGCAATTCAACGATATATCCAACTTATTAAGCACTTGATGCGAAAGTACAAATACTACAATCACCATGCCACGATTGCTACCTAGCCTCGTTATCAAAGATACCAACTGTTTTAAAAAACACTTCAAATTATCATGTGGGGGTATTTGGTTCAGTTTTAAAGGCTAATTAACGAGCCTTCTTGGTCGGAGAACTCTTCCTTGGCAAAAGCCTTGATTATTTGCGTGGTAGATTGGTAGGTAACAGTATACACTCCCATCTTACATCTTAAGCTTCGCAGCGCAAAACCAGCGTTTATGACGACGAAACGGTAGTGCTTGACGATAATAGCTTCGTAACTTGATAGAACATATCCTCAATCGGCGGCATAGCAAACGCTGGCGCAGAATCGAATAGCGTCGCGAGTTTCTGCGGTGGAACCACAGCCGGGTAGGCGTTGTCTTCATCATCATTTGCAACATCTGGCACATCTACATCCATTTCGTCTCCACTCCCTGGTTCGTCATCCGGCCCAGCAAGTAATGCCAAAGGTTGAGCCTCACGAGGATCCTCAACATCCGCGTGTTCAAGATTGAGATCAGCCAGAGGTTGAGCGAACGCAAGAGAGTTGGTGTCCATGCCTTCGGTGACAGACCACAACTGGGCAGCAGAATCTAAAACCAGATAACCGCTCGATCCAACTGAAGCGACTACCGACGTTACCGGGTGAGGGAACTTGCGCACCATTGCCGGCTCGGATTGGTCGGGAGTGAATACTGCGAGCTCAGAGACAAGGTTGGGCGAATCTAGCTTGCCACGTGTAACAGCTACCGCAAAGCTTGATGTTCTATGGTCGACCGCCATATGTGTCAAGATAGATGGCCCCGGACCATGGTGATCTTCACTTATCCTTAGTTGAACCCCATAGAGTAGCTCATCAGAGACTAGATCGTATACTATAAGACGGTCTGAAAGCACAACTAAGCAGGATGATAAAACTCTAACATCTCGAACTTCACCGTGAATTAACCCGTCTAATGAATTTCGAATCTTGCCCGATTCTGTGTCGATAACGTGGAGTATCGAGCCATGGACAGTTCCAATCGCGCAAACCAGCGTGGAGCCATCCTCGGAGAAGCAGACTGCACCGGATCCTCGTAGATATGTTTTGCTAGCCACAACATTGGGGTCAACCAGTTCTTCGTTCTCTTGTAGATATATAGTTCTAGAGCAAGCCCAGTTGTGAAGTTGGCGCCCGAGTTTTCCCCTGACCAGCACACCATCTCGTTGTCTTATAGTCGGCTCCCACAGTCGGACAACTCCATCCTGCCCGACAGTGGCAAAGCGATGTGAGTGTGGGTCAGCAGCCAGCCCATATACCGGTTCACTGCGACCCGTGAAATGGGGGGCATTGATACGAGATACTAATTCGAGACTCTGGTCTTCCGATGAAGTCGCCCAAAATTTGAGGTAGACCTCGCGCCTCTCGGCGGGGGATCCTTCAAGAGAATTGACATCACGCGTAGGAGGTTGCCATTCATCTATTGTGGCAAGCCACTTACCGTCTGCCGAGTATGCCATGCCAGTGATACGAGGCTCAGTTATGGCGTAGCCTTTGGTTGTCACGTTGATATCTGTTGGATTCGTTCTCGTGAGGGCCTGTTTTGAGATACTCTGCAAAGTGGTAAGGTCCAGCGTCTGTATCATTGGGGTTGATGGGCCGCTTCCAGAGTGACCCATTTGCTGCCCGTTCCCAACACAAAAGTGTATTCGCGACGGATCCGCTGGACTGACTGTGGCGGGAGTCTTTAATAATCGAGATGGAACATATTGGCCCACCCTTCTCACTAAATCATCTTTCGAGAATGATTGGGGAAATAGGAGGGTCTGGAGTCCGGATATGTATGTCGTCGGTTTCATGTCCGCAGTTGATAGTACGATGACCGAATTATCATCTAGGTGGAGAACGTATGCAGAACCATTCTTTGAGATTACGATATTTTCTATTGTCGCAGACAGATGAGGCAGGAAATCCATCTTTTGCGTGTCCAGCTGCCATAGTACCAACGTGGACTCGGAGCCTCCAGAAATAAGGTAATTGCCTGTGATGAAGATTAGAGACGACGTGACTCTGTGAGGATGAGATGATTCTTACCATCTCGTGACCATTTGATATCATGAACCGCTTTCCTATGCCAATGGTATTTTCGTGGCTGAAGAGAATTCTTGTGCCCCTTGCCGTTTTGTAGGCTGCGAAGACGAGGCAAGAGATCGTTATAAAAGTAGATAGCTCCACGGGCACATCCTACGGCAATTTCCACCACGGGTTCGTCGCCGGCTTCCGCTTGAGACTTTAGGTTGAGGTGGACGCGGTTGGTTGCTCGCACATCTAGACAGACGATCTCGTCACTGCAATCGAGGGTGAAGAATTCGTACTCTAAATCCTGAAAACCTTTGATGGTAGAGTTTCTTAGGATGCCGAGCAAGATGTTGCGGTCGGCTGATCCTGCTATGGCATATCCGCTTCGGACAAATGACAAATTCAAAACGGGTTTGGACTGGGTCAAGAGAGACTTGAACGACTTTAACTTGGAATCTCGCACATCACAGGCGACAATCTGCCATCTCCCTCTATGCTCGATAGAGGTTAGCACGATATCTTGAAACCCCTTTTTAAACTGTACGCGCTCGACCGACATGCCACAGAGAAGACCACATTCTAGTTTGCAAATGGCCCCGTTCCTGGTCCCATTTGTCCAGTCGATTGCCCAGAGGCGGCCAGCGGACGAGGCTACCCATATAATATTGGGTGAGGTTGGCGAGAGACGTGTCGAGATGATCTGTTCTCCTGCGACTTCAGCATTCAACTTTAGTAGAGGGATCTTGCGTATGAGGAGGGATTCGGTGGCCGAATAGACTTGAATAGATGTATTAAAGGCCAATATAAGGTGCCTAAGATGAATGTTAGCTTTCTCGCCCTGGCTATACTAGAGTAGGAGCTATGCGCCACATACATTTCATCATCAGCTAATATAGGATCTACATTCAGCATCATTCCTCCCATAGGCTTTGATACTCCCCATGTTGTCTGTTTTTCATGGCTCCTCCGTTGTCGTCGATTTTCTTTCTTGACAACCTGAAAGGTAGGTTCTTTAGTGGCAGATGTCATTTTATCAGGATTTTCAGATATTTTTAACAAGCCATTGGCTTTCGGGGAGGCCTGTTCGTGGATTGGAATGTTATGGGAGGCTAAGTGATCTCGCCTTGCTCGTTTTCTTTTGTCCTTCTCGTCGATGTCTCTTTTTCGTTTATGCGCACTGATTTCCTAGATGGTAGGGTATGTAAGCTACTAGGATGGAGGCATTAAGTATTCAGTGCTGGGAATAAGTTCAACCTACTTCTGTAGTTGATATGGGAGCCATCTTGGGAACTCAATTTTTTTTGGCTGCAACTTCTTAAAAGCAAGCTAAGTTGAAGATCTCTAGACGACGAAAAGTTCACAAGTTTTTTTGCGGGACGAACAAGATAAGGTAGGTAGATAAGAAATTTAGAATTTGCAAGTTCAATGTTCATCAAGCTAAGCTGAAGTTAGCGTTAGTTAGTTAGTTAGTTAGTTACTAACTACTAGATTAAAAATGGTCATAGTGTCATGCAGATCAGCCAACTATCGATAACAAAGCATCAAATTTCCAAACTCAAACCTTTGTTTCTTTCGCCAGAGTTGATCTCTTTTTTATTGCGACGGTTCACATTGAATCTATCTATCGACCGTGTTCATTCGCCTAGATTTGACAAATCAACTTCATCTACAATCACTCTACCAACTATAAGCCCTAGAATATCACACTTCACCATGATTATTCCTATTAGATGCTTTTCTTGTGGGAAGGTAGGCTTTGTTGTCCCGCCATTTTTGGTTTGTTTTGTATTGACCGAGGCGCACTACAGGTGACTGGAGATCTTTGGGAACGATATCTCAAGTTGATCGATGAGGGCATCCCCGATGGGTAAGATAATGCCATCCTCATCTCTGTTTGTCTATTTATTGATATTGTACTAATAACTTATTCAAGCGACGCCATGGACTCGCTTGGCCTAAAGCGATACTGCTGCCGTCGCATGATCATGACCCACGTCGACCTCATCGAGAAATTACTGAAGTAAGGCTGTTACCCCGGAACCGAGATAAAATGTACCCAGAGAGGAAATTATTAACGAGTAAACAAGATATACCCCGGATGGACGAAACGAAAAGAAGATTCAGCTACAACAACGATGAGCTTGGAACTTGGCAACACCCACTTATAATGAATTTGATGTCAACGATTATAAACAGAAAGATTGCATCCCGTGGCGTTGGAGGATGACTTTAGGCAGGCGTCATAGCATCACTTGATTAGTATTCACAGAGGACTAATCTCAGACTACAATGTGAACTATCCGATCTACTTTAAACGACGATGGAGATTGTGCCAATAGAATTTTCTCGGAACTATCAAAAGTTAGAACGCCTTGCGGCTATCTTGCGAGCGGCCTGTATATGCGGCCTCGAATGCGCCCCAAACAGTTGCTGGCTAGGGTACCATGCGGAATATACGCGATGACTGCTTGCAAAAATCCCCTTAGAAGCTTGGTAGCGTGCATAGAACAGTGTTCTCACCTTACTTCTATGGTTGGTATGTTCCGGATATCTGGAAAGGGAAGCCTACCTACCGCATGGCTGATCTGAAAACTGACAGGCGAATCGAAATCTCTTTGTGAACAGGCATTAGGTAAACAAACTGAAGCAAGGCATTCAGCTTAGCCTTCTCCCAACGAAGGGTATAATCGCCGCGACTAATTATGGTCTTAGAGAGTGCCACGTCGGCCATCTTTAGTGGTGCTGTTGTCGCCATAAGCGCTTGGTGTTAACTAGTAGTTGGTTGAATGTGCAGCATACCTAGGTAAATATGCAGCCCTGAAGGTAGTTCGAAATTCTGGATACCTATGTAGGTGTCTGTCTACTATGTAGGTTGGTACTTTGAGGGTACCCACATGTATTGACCGCATCTTCGCCTATTTCAAGCCCTTGTTCCAGAAGAAGAATAGAAAAAGCAAATGGCTTATTTCTGATCTAAACGAACGAAACCGAGACCGTTATCCAATTTTCTAATGGGAGAGCCCCGAAGGATTCCCGGAATTCCTAACCTACATATATACATACCTTAGTGCCTCCTATGCCCAGGTAGCTAGTAATACTACTAGGTTAGGTATGTACTATGTAGGTAGGCTACATGTAAGTATCTAACCTGCTATAGTCTAACGGTAGATGCTGTATCTTAGGCAGCTATTGACTCTAGATATATTTACGGATGAGATGAGGGACTCTGTATAGGCCTAGTATAGGTAGGTGTATGTGCTTCGTAGCCAACGCTGACAATCAAACCACTGCTGTATTGTATAACTGAGATTTAACCATCATGCAAGGGCTTCAAGGGCTTCCTGGCTTTCGCACATGTTGAGGCGTTCTACCTCCATAGTTCTGTATCACGGCGCCTATGCACGTTGAGACTAAGCAGAGGATCGGGCGTTGCGTTCTGGAAAAGCGCCCCCAATGGATAAGCGAGGGCTGATCTTACGTAGGATTAATTATATCTTGAACTTTCATCCATCTCGGCAAACGCCGTTTGATATCTCAAAGGATCTGGCTAAAAGAAAAACATGATACTTTACAAAAAGGAGAGAATGAGAATGAGATAGTATAGGATGGATTAGTCATGTAGGAAGACGGCAAGGTTGGTAAACACCATGGCAAACAGCATACATACTATCATCTATGTAGAGATGCTAGCCTAGGTGCATAGTAGCCAATCAAAGTGTGTCTACCTAAGGTAATGCATTTATAGGTACATACATACTATATAATACTATCAATATGTAGGCCGAGCCACCAAAAAATGCACAATTCTATTGGTTCACAGGTACATTGATCAGTGATTAGATCTGAGTTGGGGTGATACTGTGTAGTTATGTCTATCATAGTCAATATGTTGAATTCACCATATGTTTCTTGCTTGATGGCCTTCCATAAGAAACTGCTGACCTACATAGATATGCATACAATACATACCATCATACACCCTCCAGGTCTCAGGTCGCTGATCGGTCAAAGTTTGACACCTAACAGCTATCCCAGGCCCACATGGGAGACCCCATCAGTTCTAATAAAAGGCGCGGTACCAGATCCTCGGGAACCCTATCCTAGCCATTCGAGAAGGATTGGCTGTCAAGGTGCACAAAATACCCGCGATTTATGGCACCGGCCACTTCCCACCACTCTTTATTATGGATATTATGGATCACGCACCATATGGGTTAATCATAATGTAGGGCATATGTACCTACCTAGCAGCCTATGTATAATGTTAGTACCTACATCCATATGTAGAATATGTAGGCTCCAGCACGTATCAGGTAGTTCATCCGGACTCCTTCCCGATTATGTCAGGATGCTGCCATCACCTGTCTAGGGATACCACAAGCTTACTACCTACCCTACTATGTGCTACCCTAGATAGAATACGTAGGGATTGACATGTAGTAAAGCGTGTCAGAGACTTACACACGGATAGGGCTATCACTGCCTAATACGCATAGTCCTATGCCCATACAATTATTACAATACCTCCCTAGGTAGGTAGGTAGGTAGGTAGAATCTGGTAGATAGGTAGATAGGTAGGCTGGTACTCTAGGACCCTCTAGGTTGGTGTGTAGTGTTAAATACATCTTAGTGACGGGTCGAGCCGTTGTGACTCACGGTAATACAACTCTGGCACTGCTATGTTTTGAGGGGCGAACGAGAGGGGAACAAAAAAGCACAGGGCATGTAGCAAAGCTGATGCTTCAATGTTTCAAAATGTTCTTTTTGTTGCTATCATGTCGCTAAGCCATTGGCCTCCATCTTGGACATTTGTTTTGAGTATCATGTACTTTTGCGCTTTTGCAATTTGCACATTTTACCCCAACATGGATGCGATGAAGTGGGTTAATACCTAGTTATGTAGTACCTAGTTAACTAACCAGGTATGTAGTGTATGTAGGCAGTAGCTCGTTCGAAAGAGTGGTGGACTAGGCAGGGTATCTGTAAGAGAAGTGGGAATGGACTTTCGTGACTCGTCCATGGCAACGATCCGCCCGTGGCTGTAAGCGCCGAAGCCCCTGTCTAACCCCCTGCCGCCCACCCTCCGATCCTCTCCCTTACTGTCTTTTTACTCGCCAGAAAGTTGCGAAGGGACAAAGACGCGCATCTGCAGGCTATGCGAATGGACTAGCTGTGAAGAGGGCGGCAGCAAACCCAGACAAGCCATCTCTAACAGCAATTCAACCATCGGCTTCTGCCCGAAGCTATCATCAGTCAAGGCAAGACAAGACATACATAGGACACACACACACACACAGAGAGAGAGAGAGAGAGAGGAGAGAGAGAGACAGAAGAGCCTCCGTGCCACCACATAACTACTACTTACCTAGTAATAGTTACCTACTACCTACTTTAGTCAGTCAAACAGTGGAAACAGGATTCCCGCTCTGATCATCATCCAACCCAACTTCTCAATTTCAGCCACGATATCATATCCTTTATACCTACTTTCCCATATCTCACTATACCACTGTTGTACCCCCATCAATAATTTTATCATCTCGATCTTCCAGTTCCACCTCAGAGTATATCGCTAGGGCAGCTAGCTGCATTATAGGACCCTAGCATGCTCTCGGCCGATGAGCTACATATCTGTTATTCCTTTCGGGTCCTGGTGGAGCTTCTCTGACTTTCTCTGACGAATATCAAGCCGACGTCCTTTTTTTTTTCTTTCCTCAGCCCCTCTCCCGGCAGGACGATTGAACCAACCTGGCCCACCATCTTCTACCTATCCGTCCAGTCAGGTCAACTTTACTTTTGCGAAAGAACGATAGTATACCTACGTGTTGACCCCATCCTTACCCTGTACTTTTTATATGCGGATCTTTCTTCTTAGAGGGTTTCTTAATTGGTAGTATCTAGTCTGTTGGAGCATTGCTACTGTAAGTTGGTGCAAATTGGGTAGAATAAGGACCGCGGTCGTTCGAAACTTCGCACCGCCATTCCCGCAGTGTCGTTTGGGTCAGATAGAGCTAGCTCTCTTACACATACATACACAAAAAAACGCCTTCCACCTCCACTCCATCTCAGCCGTTGTCAGGATCCCAAGCCCGGCCCAATCCGCGACCTCTGGACGTGGTATACATACTACACGTGCCCGCGTGCTTATAAGCGCGGCATCCCGTCTATCTAAAGCGCCTAGAGCCGCCAGACAATAGAAAGGAGCCGAGCCGCCATCAAGCGCATTCCAGCCAATTACTTACATTCTTACTTATCTACCTCGTGGCCGATCGATATTGATCTTTGCTATCCGAACTAATCATGGCCCTGGAAGGTCCATTGAGATCATCCACCGGAAGTGCTTTCTCGTCTCCCATGGACATGTCTATATCGTCGCCAGAGTCTACCTCTGCTCCTCGTTCGCAGTTCCGCCCAATGTCGGTTGCTTATCTCCCTCAAGTTGATGAATTGGCGAATGCTGATAGAGAGTACAGGTCTACTAGCGCCTTGGAGTCTGGTTCCTTTCGACCGACGCTGGCAGCTAGCCGGCCACTGTCGAGCAACAATTATCTCCTGAGCCCAGTCGACATGGTTGGCCCCTCACCAGTCACATCTATCGGGACCGAAGTGACGGAGATCGACGACGAAGAATATGATGAGGTTCGGTCTCAGCCCAACGACAAGAGCCCCGATCATCATCATCCTCAGGTTGGTGACTTATGATAGCGAGAGATACATGAGTCGTAGCAATGCTAATCTAAAGCCAGATGCCGAGTATCAGCACGAACATTTCCGATCAAATACGGCAGTCAACGGCTGAGGGCATAGTATCAGTCATACATGCCCCAAAAGGCTTTCAAAGTTGGGTAAGTTGTAGAGCTTTCTTGTAGCTTTTCCGCATCCGCTCATCGTCATAGTCGGCCGCCGACAGCTCCCCGAGGCAGTCAGACTCGGTCCGAACTTCGTCGCCCAAGTCTTCCTCCCCTGTGCCCGCGTCCGAAGATACTGCCGTATCTCCCCCTCCACCTGACCGAGTATCAAAGGTAAGATAGCAAAAGCTCGTAGAACGTAGTCGATACGCCAAAAACTCACATAATACAGGTTAAATTCCCCGATTTACCAACGCCACATCTGAGGACAAATATCAAGCCAGTCAAGTATAGTATCGACAGCGCTACACCCAGGGCACAGACCTTGCAAGAGATACTAGGCGATTCGCCAAAAGCACGCCCTAGGAGCGCCAGTAGTCTCGAACGTCAGTGTAAATAGCAATCCACAAACTGCCCCGTGTTAAAGCTAACTCGGATCTTTTTTTGTCACAGTGATCCCCGAATCGAAGGAATCAGAAACAGATGGGGAGCCGGACCTGGACAGCTATGATGATGAGGAGGAATACGGCACGCCTATTCGAGAGAAGAAAGGCGATGATGTGGAAATCACGTCTCTCAAGGCGGCTCTACAAGAATGCTGGACTCTATGCAACACATTGGCCAATCTCAGTACACACCACCGGGAGAGAGTGTTCAGCACGTCGGGAACCCCTGACGGGTACGAAAAAGCTTGGAAGTGCTGTTGGGAATTATGCCGGCGTCTATATGACAACCGTGAAGATACTGAGGACTCTTTTAACGTGCGCCAAAACCTAGATCTGTGCCGAGATTTTTGCCAGGCCCTGTTCGACGTACGGGATCGCAGCGATGAAGTGGCAGATTCTATTTTGCGAGTGAGCTTCGAGCTGAATAATCAGTAAGTTGAATGAGCATGATGGCTTTTTATTCATAAAAGGCACTATATTAGGTATGCTAACGATTTGGTAGTTTATATAGCGCACAGGACAGTCGAAATCTCCCAGAGGCTTTCCGTGAACGAACACTGGACTTCTATATCACGTTGTGCCACCGACTCATGAAGCAGCGCGGCGAGCTAGGCGAAGAGACAGACTCACTCCTATCCGCGTGTTGGTCGCTGGCGGAGATGCTATTCAGTCTGCAGCAGAACAAGAGAAACGGCAAGGCAGCAGATGAACGACTCCTCGGCTCGGCCGTTCAAGCGTGTTGGGAGCTCTGCGACATGTTCAGGGCAGGATGGACGCAAGTCCGGCCAGACAGGGGCACTCCACGCCCAGGCCAGGCCGGCTTCCTCTCGTATGGTAATCGAGATTGGGATGCAGGGGAGATGGCGGACGGTCGAGAGAGTAGGACTTCGAGCCGCTCAAAGCCAAGTAGTCTAAAAAATCCTTCTCACGGGGGAACAAAACCGTCACGAAACTACCCACCAGTACCCGAGACACCCTGCACCGAGTTTGAGGATACGCCAGTTTCCCCGGATACCGAGTCCCCCAGCATGCCCAACATCCTAGTGCTAGGAACCGACAGCAACCGAGGCGGCCGGTGGTCCAGCAGCGCCTCGAACCTATCAAGCTATTCGCAAAGCAGCCAGCGGACATCGAGCACGGCGACCACGACAGCGACGACGAGCGAAGAATCCAACATCACGCGCATCAAGATGCTGGTCCTCAAAGCGGCCATGAACCTCGGGTTCTCGCGGGACAGTGCATCGGACGGGCATCACAGCAGCGCCGCTGCCTCGCTACCGACCTTCGTCAAGTCGCTGCCCACGGGATCCTTCGGCTCGCTCCCCTCGCAGGCGGCGCTGCTGCAGAACTACAAGAACCTCGTCGTGACCGATTCGTCTTTTAGGCAAGCCTCGTCCCTACCCAAGTCCGGGAAGCGCGTTTACGCCACCGATGTAGCGAAGAGCGTGGGATGGATGATGCATCGCTCCGGCCAATACGGGTACCTGCGCGACTTGTTCAAGTTCGTTTTCGGCTTTCAAGTCGAGGATGCTGATAACATGAGGACCGTCACCATTGCCGTCTGAACATATTTCAGGAGACTGCCCCCCACCCTCCACCCGCTGGCCTGACAGGCATGCATGGGGCCGTTTTTATATATCGGTCTCGGTGTATGAAGAAAGGAAAACTATCCATGAATGGAAGAAATGATTTTTTTTATAACGTACTATTATATACCCCCGGTGGAAAAAGAAAGAAGAAGGATGGTTGGAAAGGATTGCAAAATTTCGCTCTCATGACTTGTTACGAATCCATCTTCATCTCCATATACTACCTACTATTACTACTACTACTCCTACAACTAGATACCTACCTACCTAAGTATATACTTAGTAGGTACAGACAGACTACCTCATCATCATCAACAACAACATAAACATTTATAGGGGAGGTTCAAACTATCTTTCTTGTTCATTTTACTCGTTCTTCATTCATGCTAATGTTTTATTGCTCATTGCTTACCAACCCATCTACCATCTACCCGTCTCTTTTAAAAAGAAAACTTCAGCTTGGTTGAGTTCGAGGTTCGAGTTCGTCGTTGTCGTTGTCGTTGTGCCCTCGCTTTGAAGATACCCCTCCTCTTGTTTGCTTGCCTGTTTATTTTCATCCTCTATCCTCCCCCCTTTCTCTTTTATTACTTTACTTGGGAATGATGCACGGTTGTTCGGTTAATCCCTTGGTTATATGACGGGTACTTAGGAGTTTCGCTTGCTTTCTTCGGTAGCCTTGTGGACGAAATCTGAAATATGAGTATAAAAATGAGCAAGAGAATGGGGGTGTGACGGAGTGAGGGACAAGAGAGATGGAAGTGGAATGAAAGGGAGAGGAGACCAAGAGAGGGGAATACTATCAACTATGCACCGATTAAGTCCACGTATAACCTACTTATTACTTACCTAGGTACTTATCAAGGTAGGAACCTAGGCGAGCCAGTCTACATCAACTATCTAGTATTACTTTACTTAACGGTGTCTTACACTATAGTATTTTTCACACGTGATAGTACCTATAGAGCCTCTTTCTTCATACCGTTTTCCTGCCTACTTGCAGGTCCAAGTCAAAGGTACCTATAGAGAGACTTACTAGGTAACACGTACGGGTCATTCTCACCATGTGTACATGTACATGTATCTATCAAAACATTGGCACAATGATGAACGAAGTGTCTGCAAGTTAATCAGAACGTTCTCATCCTAATTCAGCACAGCATAGAAACTCATGAAAGCTGAAAGGCCCATTAGTCCATGTCACAGAAAGCAGAGATGGGAAATCACAAATAGTTATAGCCGTCCATTCGTTCATCTGCTTATGCTTAGGTAGAAAAATAGCATCCAGTTTCTTAATAATGCCAGATGTCCTGTATTCATATCCTTGCCCTTTCCTTATGACGCCGTCTCAAGTCGATCGATTAGGCCGCCCAGAATCTAATATACGAATTGCACGCCTATCCTAGTATGTTGAAAATTCCCATACCCTAAGCACACCTCGATTCCTCACGGTAGTATATTTCGTCGCTCGGCTCGAGCCTTGTAGCGGTGTACGGACAATAGACAAGACCTATTTATCCTTACGGGTACCGGCAGGGGGCTGTGTCTCGCCGTACTTCTCGCAGAGATCGTGGTATTCGCGAGAAAGTCCCTCGGCTTGTTTCTTAAGTGCCTCGATATCGCGATCTTTCTTCTCAAGGTCGAGTCTCAGACGGGCGATCTCACCGGGCTTACCAGCCGTAGCCAACTTCTCGGCATCCTTGGTCTTGCGGTCTGTTCCTTCGTACTGCTTGACCTTCTCTTCGAGGCGGAGCACTTCGAGAATCATCGTGTAGGTGCGGTTGAGGATTAGAGACAGGAATAAAGTGAAACCGCAGAGATACATGTTGCGCTGGCTGTAAAATTTGCGGGCTTGGACTTCAAGGCGCTCGTGACCCATAACCGCTCTGTGATTTTGAAATGGTTAGCAGGTTAGGCTTATTTTAGTAATTGGGAGTTAGACAGGAGGATAATTGGAAGGGGAAACATACGCCGTGCCCTGTTTTGAATCAGTAGCGGCAGCTAGCTCGAGTTGTACACGGTAGACGCGGTTAACGCTGTCGAGGAACAGGATGAGGATGAACACGAAAGTGATCTTAAGCCAATACTGTAATTTGGCTATCACCGGATTTTCCGAGAGGAATCTGCAGTTCGCACATGTTAGTTAGTCCACTACTCTATAAGAAAAAAAAAGGTAAAGAAAAGAACTCATCGTGCACGTACGTGAACATCTTGCGGCGAACCGTAAATGGCATCGGAACAACCAGTAGCATGAAGAGAGACATCTCGGCTACTAGGAGCACGAAGACCTGATTATCTATCATTAGCAAATCCATCATAGTAATCATGGCCATAATTTCGACAGATCTTCTCGGTAGATCTGATGAAATTAGGTCGAAAGGAATGATTGAGACTTACGAGAGTATAATAAAGCGTCATTTTGACGGGTTGCTGAGGTGAAAGTGCTCTTTCTTGCTCGTGTTTATTGCTCGTGCTGGTGGAAGAGTCGGAAGCACTGTGGTGTGGTTGGTGGTGCAGGAACAGCAAGAGTGCCTAAATGCGTTGTCAAGGGAGAATTGGTGATTTCAAGACGTCTGAGCCGTCTTGAATTATGCAAAGTGAATTGTCGTATATAGGATACGATAAAGTGAATGATTTAATTCTTGATTCTTGCTTTTTCGGGGTGGTTTACCCTTTCTTCAATTTGGCTTTGAAGTTGTAACAAAGCTGAAAATTGAAGATTGTCTGAAAAGTTGTTAAGTGGTAAGAAATGTGGCCTTGTCCGCTGTGCAGTGTGTAGTGTGCAGTGTGCAGTGTGCAGTGTCGTTACCTGACCTGGCTGAGCTCGTTTACTGGCTGGCGGGGCTTACAAGGGTAGCTTGGAAGTCAACTACGTCAGTTTTCCGTAAGGAAATGACGTTGCAGTTATCTGTTGCATTAGGTAAGGCACAATTCAAACTGTACAATAATTTACTACTACTAGTACCTAGTAATTAGTATGTAACTACATCTATCAATACAGTAAAAGTTACATTTTGAATCTATTTACTCACATGCACCATTATCATCTTGAACCTCATCATATTCTATTCCCATTGCTTGCAAATAAAGCAAATTATCAACTGATAACGATAATAGAACGAATGAATATCAAGTCAATTTGAGTCATTTTATACGCATCCATACGAAGTACTCTGCCGAGTGTACTACACATGTATTGCTCATATTGATGGCTACCTAGGTACCTAATCCTACTAACCTAACCTAAGGCAATCTGGCCTATTAATACGAAGCCACCGGCCGCGTGTACAGCCGCCACTAAGTCATGTAATCTTTCTATTTTCCCTACCACCTTTGTATGTGGGTACCAAGATAGGTATTCAGCCTTTTAGCTGGCCTGGCCACAGTAGGTATAGTCATTCTAGAGATAGAAGGACTATCCCTCGGCCTCGATCTCGTAACTATTGGACTTATGCTTGGGCTGGAACTTGAAGCTCGGGTGTGCGGGTCCAAGAAACATTTCACTGCCGTTTTCATCAGTATTAGAACGAATACGGGATAAGGGGAAGAGATAGTAAGAAGCGAATTACATACCTAATCTTAATCCAGTCCATGTAATTATCACTGGCAAGAAGAGTTTCGAGATCATCTCGTCCTCTATATCGTGGTGGCCGGTCGTTGAGGCTAGGAGGCATGTGTTCCAGGATGCCCAACGGGACGTAGCGATGCGTGAAGCTTAACCACTCTAACAAGAATCGCCTTGTAAACCCAAGACCTAGCTCGTCCGAACCCCAAGCTTCCAATCCATAGCGTACGAACTTCTCTATGTATCCCAACCGCTCCGATGCCGACTTGTCCAAATACTGGCCTTTTTCAATCTCCTCGAAAATCCACGGCTTCACCATAGCGCCTCTCGCGATCATAACTGTATCTACCTTGGCGTTGTCGATATGGTCAAAGTAGTCAACGTGCGAGTAGCAATCGCCGTTTCCAATGAAGTAAACCTTCTCGTCGGCAGTGTTTGCTTGAGTACTGGCATCTGCTGCCATAGCAGTGTCAGTTAATTTGTCCTTCTTGTCCTTGTAGGACTTGATCAGGGCCGCGCATTCGGCAATATAAGACCAATCCGCACTCCTCGTATACCGTTGCTGTCTACTGCGTCCATGTAACGTGATGGCTGCGCAACCCGGCGCTCCCAGCCTTTCTCGCATGTCAATGCCTCCGAAGGCAAGCCTCTCAATAAGCCTATCTGCTGTCGGTTTTCCGTCTCGTACACCCATTCGCAGCTTAGCTGTGATGGGCACATCCCCAGAAACAACATTCATGCCTCTGACTATCTTTTCCAGTTTGCTAGGGGTGTCAAGGAGCGCAGATCCGGCCCCCGACTGATAGACGAGATCGATGGGACAGCCGCAGTTTAGATCTACCACTCGAAGATGTGGGAGGAATCGAGTGAGGACCTCTGTCGCCTTCATCGCTACCCACGGTTGGTTCCCCGAAATCTGCACACCGAATTTGAGGTCCTTCGCGTTATCATAGCCTTTCACAGTCGAATTACTCTCAGGCGTGTATCGAGGGGACACCGTTTCGGATTCGTGGGCCTTCATAAGTGCCCATTCGCCTTTCTGTCCTTGCACCAGGGGCATTCCCATGGCCATCTCTGAATACGTAACCTGAGCTCCTAGTTCAACACATAGACGTCGGAATGGTAGGTTGCCTTGTGTAGTTAGGGGTGCTAGGACTGGTGTCTCTTTCCCAAAGTAAATCCTCCTCTTCTCCGATGGCTTGAGGGGCGGGTCCACGAACTGAGCTCTGTGGTCTTCTGCATCAACTCCATTTTCACGGTCTTCCTCCTGCTTTTTCGTCCTGTGATAGACCTTTCTTGCAAGTTCCGTATCCTTTTCTAGCCATTTAATATAAGGTTCGGATTTGTCGAAAACTACCTTCCTTCTCGCCAAGTCCCATTTAATATCGGAAGATACAGCGTTGACAATGCCTGGTCGTTGATCAGGGTCGTCTTCAGTTTCCGTAGAATCGGAACTTTGAAGGAGAATAAGCTCCTTGCGTCCATCTTCTCGGTCGACCTCCTTAGAATGGCTCTTAACAAATCGACACTTCCATCCAGAGGTGCATCTACCGTAGTTTTCGAAGATGGGACACTTGCCGTTGAGAGTGTCCAAGTCCTCACGCCGACCCTCTTTGAGATACTTGCGCAGATCATGACAGAGGTTACACCTTTCGCCGTATTTACACGATTTAGGCGAGAATTCATTGGTGTAGGTTACGCTGTTGCATAGGCGGAGTGCATCCTCAAAATGGCCATAGCTGCGATTTTGGTTTTGACCGCTTTGCTTCTTCCGGTTCTTTCCTTTCTTCCCACCGTTATCCCGAGCATCAGGCTTAGCATTGGGGGGGTCGTTTGTTGCAATGGAACCCTCTGCTGCGTCATCATCAATCACCTTGTCCCGAGGCTCAAGAGAGATGAGGTATCTAGCGACGCCGGTTAGTCTAAACAGTACATGGTGGTCCTGCTATCAAGCATCCAAACTTACTCAGCCTTCACGGGCGCAACACCGCGAACTCTCCGATCCGGTTGAGCTTGTTGAGTTTCCTCCTTCTTCATCTCATCATGGTCAAGCTTGACTCTCTTAGAAGCAGGACCATCGGCCTCAATGGTATCTAGTGAGCCTTGACCATTCGTATCGCCATTAATAGCATGCTTGGATGGTATTTCTGGACCAACCATGGCATCGACAACCTTACTGCCTTGGGCAAGCTTAGTGTCCGTCATTTGAGTACTTCAGTACCTATTAATGGCAATTGACAGATTTATTTTGGGAGATGAAGGTGGGTTATGTCATTTTTCATATGTTTCTAAGAAAAAGTTTCTTGCTTCAAGTATTTTACTACTAGTAGTAGTAGTGATCAATAATAATACTAGGTATATGTAGATACACAGTACATGGTATGTACCTATCGTGTGTATAAGTTTGATATTGAATATTACATAATAAGTAGAATAAGTAGAGACACAGCTAACGGCTAAAGCGGGGATCGACGTGGGATTGGTCAAGTTTCAAAGTTTGATATTGCACCGTAGTACCAAGGGAACCTGAGTACTTAAGTACTTCGTACATTTTATAAAAAAAGAGATCCGAACCTTGTCAAACCGAACCGTCCATCTACGACCTCCCAGTGCCTACTATCCAGGCCTCATTCTCTTTCTGGAAAGGTGCACACACACACGCACGAACACACACAAGTTTCATACAGGGGGGCAAATGAGGTGAGGGATGAACCCGTCTGTCCGTCTGCTCGACAAGCTTATTATCTAGTGCCTTTCTACCTTGCCATCATTATTAGTTATACCTACCTAGGTATCTACTACTCTAGCATACAAACCAAACTTCTACCCAAGAACAACATCCTTTCTCTATTTTCATACCCATCGTCTTAGTACTTTGACTACTAAGTACTTACCTGCCCTAGTACGATCTATATTACATATATCCTCCAAAGACATCGTCAGACTTGAAACCATTACCCCCCCTTTTACTTCCAAGTTCCTACCCCATGTTTTGAATACCTACCCACCTATCTCACCTACCTATCCAAGTCATCTCCGTGCTGGTGCCCTTGCGCAACCTAGCTAAGTACTTACCTAGGCAGCTATTGACAGCTATTTGACAGCTATTGATTACCGAGAGACTACCCGGGGTTAGGCGAACTAGGTATTTTTGGCGACTGTCCTTGTGACGTACACATAACAGACAGGTCACAATTCAGTAAAAAAAAAAAAAAAAATAAAGACCCAAAAAAGACGATAGTATTTTTTGAATGTGGAACGTGGGCAATGTTCGACAAACCTCGGGCTCACTGCTGACAATACAATGGCCGACAACTCGCGGTCGCCAACCGCATCTAGCAACAAATCGAGGACCGTTCGATCCCAGAAGATTGCCTCGCCTTCTACCGATGGCTCCGACGTAAACGAGGCTTCAGACCGAGTTAACCCTCCTGGCCGAAGCCATACCCCAGGCCATCTTGCATCTAAAAGTCAGGGCAGCTCTGCAGCAAACAGACGCAAACCCTCAGAGCCCTCAATACGAGCACGTTCGCAATCCGTCGTTGCCAAGTCCGCCTTCGCTCCACCTCCGCCGCCGCCAACTCAGACACCTATACCTACTCTTACGCTTCGACGCCATGGGGATTACAATAACCCCGTTCCAACAGATCCGCAGGCCGGATCAGCCTCTAACCAAGATGCCGATGCGCGTCGCCCCGCAACTATGCGCTCTACTTCCGCCATAGCGGGTCGCACCACCACCCTCAGTTCAGCCTCGGGGGGAGGGCCTCGTAAGTCGTCTGCCCCTCCGCGGCCGCGGGGACCCCACGTCCCCTTTCCACCCTTACAAGACCCAAAGACCGCACCCGATGTGCCCGCCGCGCCATCGTCTGGCATGTACTGGTCGCGAGCGCCTGTATCTGGGGCATCCCACACGCCACTTCGCGCACATACCACGACGCTGTTAGGGAGCAACGTGTATGTATTTGGGGGCTGCGACTCGCGCGCCTGTTTCAATGAGCTGTACGTCTTAGATGCAGACTCGTTTCATTGGAGCAGTCCGCACGTATCTGGCGACATCCCTGTGCCCCTGCGCGCTATGACATGTACAGCTGTGGGTAAGAAGTTGGTGGTTTTTGGGGGTGGCGATGGCCCCGCCTACTACAACGACGTGTATGTGCTAGATACGGTCAACTTCCGATGGCACCGGCCGCGAATCGTGGGAGACCGAGTGCCAAGCGCACGGCGGGCGCACACCGCTTGCTTGTACAAGAATGGTATTTACATGTTTGGCGGCGGCGACGGGGTGCGCGCTCTCAATGACATCTGGCGGCTGGACGTGACGGATGTTCATAAAATGAGCTGGAAGCTGGTATCAGGACCCTCGGCACCATCAAGTTCTGGAAGCGGTAGCACACCAGTCAAAGACACTAGTCGGCCCAAAGCGCGAGGTTATCATACAGCCAACATGGTAGGCAGCAAGTTGATCATCTACGGAGGTTCAGATGGCGGCGAGTGCTTTAACGACGTATGGGTGTACGACGTCGATACACACGTCTGGAAAACGGTGCTGATTCCGGTAACCTTCCGGCGGTTATCGCATACCTCAACTATCGTGGGCTCATATCTTTTCATCATTGGTGGACACGACGGTAACGAGTACTCGAACGACGTGCTTCTGCTCAACTTGGTCACTATGACCTGGGACAAACGAAAAGTCTATGGGCTACCGCCTAGCGGCCGCGGATACCACGGCACCATACTATACGACAGCCGACTCCTTGTGGTCGGTGGCTTTGATGGCAGTGAAGTTTTTAGCGATGTCTGGATTTTGGACCTGGCTGTTCATGCGTATTACTCGCAGATCAGCCATTTCAGTATCGAGGTCTAGCCTCACCCAGGGATGGACTCTTATCTAGGGATTATTATATTTATATCTAGGACAGACCATCTACATCTTACATGACTTATCTATATCTATCACGCACAAACTTTTGGACATAATGGAAGATAGCGGGAGGTTCATGTTGCTTTTTTTTTAAACAGCGTAATGACAGATACGGGACTTTCTAGGTGGAATGGAGGGAGGTGTTAAACGGGGGTACGGGGGGGTATAAAAGGGGGGCTGGCGGTGGTCGAAACGAAAGACGTGCGATATTCCGAAGGCATCTCAACCTTCAGCCGGCCATGTCAGGTTCACAGAATGACGAATGAAGTCTAGTAATTACTGATTATGCATGCGAGTCCTTGTACGTCTGTAATAGTATCTTATCTTATTAAAGTATTGCATCAAACGTTCTATCGTCACTAATAATGCCTACCAAACCTGTTCATCCTCCCCGTTCCCCCTCCCTTTTGACTTTAAGTTCCAAAGCAAACAAACCTTTTTCGGTTTGCCGTTCCAAATTCCCCACGCCCCTGAATTTTTTAAGCCTCGAGTGTAATATAAATAAACAGATGACAATAGAGGAAGAACACCCGTCCATGCTTAGATAATTGCTTTTTTTTTTTGGTTGTGCACCCAGGAGGTTGTGTATGTGAGACTTTGTACATGAAAGGAAGCGGGAAAAGTAAAGCAAAGGAGGGGGGAAAGGGAAAGGGAAAGGGAAAGGGAAACAGAAAAAATATGATGCTATCCGCAACAAATGCTAGTAACCTAACTCCCCGGGCAATGATGATGTAAGGAAAACATAACGTAGTACGTGTAGGTTAAAGGTAGGTAGGTAAGTAGGCCGCATCCAACACATTCGTGACCTTGTTATGCAGAAAAAATGCCCACCTCTCCCAAAAAGGAAAGGAAAACTCCAGCTACTCTCGGTCTATCTGTCTGTACGGCCTAGCAGCCCGACCTGCTCTCATTCGTCTTGGTATCCTTTTTTTCCTTCTCTGTCGAGAACTACCTGCGTAAGCACTTCTGTAGAACGTAGGTGTGAGTGGCAATGTATGGGGTATCAGAAAACGCGTCTATTACGAGCCGCCGTTTTTCTTGAGCCCGGCTAACCGCTTCTCCTCGGCGGCCACCATATCCTTCCACAGGTCCTGGCCCTCATACTCCTCCTTGTGGACGCGCATTTCGATGAGGTGCTTGTGCTCGGGGTCGTCGGGGTCGATGACCTTGATGGTCTCCCAGCGGCCCGTCCCGGAGCTCGCGTCGGCGGTCTCGAAGACGGCGCTAGCGATGAGGACGGCCAAGGTTAGACCCTGGGCGTAGACACGGGCCTGGACGAGCTTCTGGCTGCTGGATAGGTAGCGGTTGCGGCCGACGATGCCTAGCGAGACGGCCATGGCGGCGACCCAGGAGACGAAGACGATGGAGTAGCGGTTCTCGCGCCCCCAGGTGGTGAAGCGGTCCCAGGGGGTCTCCTGTTGTCGGATGAGCTCCTGTGTGCGCTGGGCGTCGTCGACGTAGAAGTTCATCGGGTTATTCCGTCGGTGGAACTCGTTCGAGTACCGCTCCGCGTTTATGATGGCGCCGAACGTCCCCGTTGACGTTACCAGGAAGGCTCGGAAGGGTACGGTGAGGGACCGGAAGGCGGGGTACCGCCGCGATCCGAGGAGCACACTTCCTAAACCCAGACCGAGACCTAAGGAACCACCGATGAGGCCGCCCCGGAGGACTTGGCTATAGTGCGCCTTCTCCTCTTCTTTCGAGATCACCTTCATGGCTACGGTAGTAACGCGCTTGTGTACTGTGTTGTGTTCTGTTTTGTTGTGCTGTGGGCGTATAGGTTATGGACGTGACAGATATTCGACGCTCGTAAGTCTGGGTATTGCGGTAATATATATTATGGCCTTTGTGACACCTCGAGTATCAAAGTCTTAATATGACTCGAATGTCTGAGAGGTCTCTAAGTACTAGGTAGAGAGAATACGAAGTCGATTACGGTAGTTGCGATTTGGTTTATGTGGGTAGGTAGATAAGTGTCGCAGGGCGTAGGTGGGTAGAATCGGTAGATAGGGAGGGTATTGGATGTATCGTCAGGTTGTCGCACACTGCCAAGTACTGCCTATATATGTTGAATTGTATAAATATGTAGATAAATATAAACAACCTCTGGAGTAGAATCGATATGTAGAACCACAGAGTTCATACACAAATTGTCACCTTCGGGATTCAATCCAAAGGCTGTTGCACTTAGTAACACCGCGTCAATTTGACGACGACTAATATTTTTTCACCTTTTTCGGTGATGGAGAAAATCGGAAGTTGGTACTAAGAATTAAAAATTACATGATGTAATCCACTGGTGGCATGGTGGCACGTTCAATTAGCGGTTCTGGTACGATGCAAATGGCTTACTGAGAACAAGCAAACCCCGAATTATTCCCGCAATTTTTATAGGAATCGTGGCTAGTGTTGGCCGGTTTTGGTTAGCAAGCCTAGACGATTTGAGAGTAAGTACGAGCAAGCCACACTTAAACCTCATCTGTGCACACTAGTACCTGTGTAGGGCAGACCTTTAATGCCCGCTTCTCGCCGTTTGCTCGATGTCACGCAAAGGTTAACGGAGCATCGGGGTTTGGGGGGATTGGGGGGTTTTGGCTTAGCTTATCATAAGCCTTACACGATCGCCTTTGGTAAAAGTTCGGAGTGTTCCGCCCACTTAACACCTTTGAAATAAATCATTCAATGTTCATTCATTCATTCATTCATTCATCCCACTCTCACCCACTCTCTGTCACCCACTCATCCGGTTGCTGATTCACCGTTTGAGACCATGCCGTTGTCTTGCCGTTATTATATGTATTTAACAACATAAAACGGGACTGTATCGGCATTGCAGCATAACCGCTGTCCCATTGCGTTTCATTCGGATCGACCAATTGGGGGTGTGATGGCCCAAAGAATATCCCGAAGAGTATCCCGGAATAGTGTTTGAACACAGTTGAACACATTGAACCCTTTAAATTCATGCAGAACTTGATACCTAACATGGCGTTTTAACATGGTGTTTGATACTGCTTGTCTGGGGGGTTCGGGTTGTGGGCTTGTAGGGCTTGTGGTGACTCAACCCTTTATAAACCCGGGATTGAATTTCTCATTTGTGAGAGGAGCAGAGGAGCAGAGGAACAAAGACCTCGGACCCTATCCGTTGAAGAGTTCCCATGAGTGCCCTTGAGTTCACACAAAAACACAAAAGTTCGGAACTGCCCTCCTCACCCAAAATAAAGTCATTAGGGGATCAGCATTCATATTATCGGAGGGTAAGCTCCATAACGACTGATCCATGCTGTATCACGTGCGACGATCAGCATCTTGGCGTCTTTTGAGGTTGTCAGCTCCGTCTTGAATGCGTTTAGGGTGTAATACCTAGTCAGCCAGGGCTGCATACGATGTACTATGTATTGTACCATATTACATAGTAGGTCTGTACGGCGCATAGTAACTAGTGTAGACGGAGAGGCGGGCAGGCAAACGCACAAGAAGCCCTGGCGCTGCCGACGCAGGCTCCATAGAGCTGCAACTCATCTACCAGGTTAGGTGTCTTAAGGCTCGCAGGGTCCGGTTCAGGTTAGTGTATTGATGACACAAAGAAATGGCAATGCCAAGGAACTAGGCCAAGGACCAACTGTTCTGGAAAGCTTCAAAGTTCCCTAGCGTTTCTATCTAAATATGATGTATCACATGCATGCCTGTATGGTAAGTTCCAAGTTGTCAGTTTGGAATATCTACAATGTTCACAGCTTGAATTCAACCATGAATTATAATTATCTAACCAACCGACCTATGTACTCACGATGTGCCCAATAGTAAATTACATTAGTTATCACAGCACTATTATATAATAATAGTACACCTCACTCAACTAGTATGGATATCATCCATAATAATAAAAATTGAGCTTGATAGTTACCGACTACGTGTTTACACTAACCACGTGGCGGGGACTGCTTCGCATGGATCAGATCTTAAGATCTAACAAACCACCAAATAAAAATAATAGTCTCACCGGTTGTCTTTCAGGGGTAAAAGGTCACTTAAGTAATAATACGGCTGTTAATAGTAGGGAATACGTCGTAGAAGGTTGTTTGGCCCGACGTAGCACCAAAGGATTTCGAGCTGACTGGCTCGAGCGGCGAAGAAAGACGGGGGTGGGAAGTGGGAGTGGGAGTAGTTGGAAAGACACGATCGATCATAATTTCCCATGTGAATGGGTTTCGGTGTCTCGGTCGTCGTCGGTTCTGAACCGACAGCCGTATCCACTGAGGCAAGCAGACTTGTTGAATTATTTATCGGGGCTCGGGATGCATGGATATGTTCTTAGAACTTATGGGCCTCAGACAGGAAGGCAAGTTCAACGGGGACAGCGGGATAAAAGCTACATACCGGCATACTTGGGCGGCATCTACTACTAGTAGTAGTGGCATCTTCAACAAATACATGGGTAAATAGGTATAAGTTATAAGTGTACTTCGTACACTAGTCATAAGACCGTGGTGATTTGCGATGGACCGATGGTATATGTTTAGTCTCTACCTAAAACATTCCACACTACTGCCAGGCATGAGAGCGGCATTCTAATTTGGTGCTTCCTGGTCTATCGTAACTGGGCTAGCAGTTGGCGGGCCGATGGTTTAAGTAGAGTAGCTGGTAAAATAAGGGGAAATATGAAAGAAGTGGAAAAAGGTGGCGATGGATTTTTGAAAATTCATGACATCGGAGGAATCGGAGTTGGTGGATGGAGAAATAGCGGAGGATACGGTATGGTTTTGAATGTTCAAGTGTGTGTTAAGTGTGTGTTATTCGTTGTAGCGTATGTAACCACGAGGCTTGCCGGGCTTGGGACCGAACTAAGAGGAGTTTTAGTGACAATTGCCTACTGTTAAATAGGTAGCAAGTACTGGCCTGTTAGCCTCTTATGCAGGGTCCCGGGATGAGATGGAAAAGCGGGACGCTCAGCTCTTTCGGGAATCTCCATTCAGGGTCCAATTGCATTAGTAGGCTACTCTACATTTGATCACCCATATTAATAACCAAAAACCGAAAAAGAATAATACAAAAAAAATTAAAAATAATATCCAGGTACCGTATCCATTTAGAATCAAGCAGGCAGGCAAGCAGGCAGGCAAGCAGGCAAGCAAGCAACCTGGAAGCAAATAATTTTCCTGGTTTATTTGGATATTAACTAACTATTGGTAGATATTTCCGTATAGTTAGTGAAATCCCACAAAATGTACTCCGAGCGCCTTTTGTGCCCATGGAATCATGGAATCATGGATGTATACACGAGAGAGGATCTACAACTTAAGTACTACTAGTAATACTTATAGATATTAAGGATAACTATCTATTGATTGGATGCATTGTATTTGGCAGTTCGATCCTCTCAAACCCGATTATCAAAAAGCGGTGAACGGGGTTCTTTTTGAATCATCTCTCCCGCACATGCATACATGTATGTATGATATGTATGAGATGTATGCAGATTCAATATAAATTAGGTAGGTAGGCAGGCAGGTATGTAAGAACATCTTTAATCATCGCAGCAGATACAGGCATCGAGGGTATGATCCCATTTCATCTAATGCCAGATAGGAGAGTAGACCTACCTTAGCTATGTAACCCTATAACATCTCATCTTCAATAGGAGTACTATAAGGCTAGACCACCTACATATGTAAGCTAGATGTAATACCTACCTACCTAGGTATGTACCTACATATAAGTAGGCGTCAATGACCTCATGATTTTATACTACTATAACTACTATCTACTATGTAGTTAGTGTAATCTAGACTGCCCAGGGTAGATTCCTAGATTGGGTGAGTTGATTAGGCTAGATGGCCAAATCTGTAGATTTTTAGACAACAGCACAGATTGAAGAGCGGAAAATTCCCCGTTGGAGTTGACATTGGCATCAAGAGCACGCATGAAATGAATAAGTAGGAGGGGTAGAGGAGGGGAGGGGATGGTCTGGAATGTTCCGAGTTAGTGGAGAGATGGATGATTGGCGGCAAGATCATCATGTTTAGGACCTCAATCTCGTCATAGCTGCAAGGCTAGTCGCGGGGTTTGATCAGTGTAGATTCCTTTTACAAACCGCATCATCAATTCAGGTTCAATCTTGGAATGTCATGATGTTTAAGTCGAAGATCAATTGATCTCGACCATCTTCATATACTTATCAGATTACATCGTGGATATCGTAGATGCGATATTACATACATACCAACAACTATAATAGACATTTACCAACGTGATGTCGTACGTAAGGCTTGCGACGAGAAGTGGAAATATGGGGTTATAGTTACAGGCTTACAGCATTTCGTGCAGTCGGACCATCTCAACCAAATGGAGACTGGCGTTGAGTGGATTCGTAATAAGGGGCGGCCAAGTATACCTCGATGAACATACCGCGATGAACATACGGGATCGCGAGATTACTACTACCTATTCATGGATGTATTCGTAAACCCTACATAGAAACCCTACATAGGTAGGTATGTAGGGGTTACGATGCACCTATAGGGTGTCTTGCAAGGCAGATTTTAAACAACCGATGGCTTGGAACCGGTCACATGTCACACTTCAGCTCTCGATGTTCTACCCCCTAGAGGTTACTAGGTAGGGTATCAAATAAGGTGTCCAAATGTAAGGCATAAATACCGCATGAGCTGAATACGTGTATATATCAGATTGCAACCCCGTGACCACTGTGCAGTGCAGCCTTGAGATTAAGTCTTTGCTTGTCTCAGTTTCGGTAGCTGTATCATAGGACCCAGCCTACAGGGGGAGATCCGATGTTTGTAGTGTAGTTTAAGTAGGTAGGTACATAGTCATATATGTAATGTATGCATGTACGTGTACATAAATTCCAAGTCCACATCTCCCACATCTCCCACATCTCCTTAAAGCTACATATGTATGGCTGATAGGGAGTCGAATAAGGTTGTTTGCACTACTTGCATTCCGCCGTACAACCAACCGGGACCAATTAGAAAAACCGGAGAACCGAGCAGGATCTCGAACGCCTACTACCTCAGGGGCAGGGCACTAAGAAGACTCTTCCGATCTGATTTGCCCCAGATT